AATTTTTTTCAATGGCAGAAAAAAGGACCATGGCATAGTGTAAAGTCTTACAGATAACCAGATTTCAGTGTCCAGTTTTCTCACTTAATAATAGAGAAATACTCCTAGGCCTGCTTCCTGATTTGTAACACTTAACTTATTTAACCTTCACAACAACTTTATGGAACTAGGTACTACAGTTATCTCATTTTGCAAACAGGAAACTGAAGCACAGAGCAGTTAAATAACTTTCATAAAAGCACATAGCTAGTAAGTACCAGCTGAAGTTTGTACCAAGGCAGTCTGGGGCCACAGCCATAAAAATGGAGACAATGAAACCTATGTCATAGGGTCATTTTAAGAATGAAAAGCAATAATTATATCTTCAAAGTGTTTAGTCCAGACCCTAGCACAAAGAAGGTATTCAATACATGGTACCAGGTTAAGACCATTTATTGTACCAATAAAAACAAATGTATATTCTCCCTGGTCCTCATTTAAGAAGTGGCTATGTGGGCAACTTCAAGTGCCAGGTACAGTTTCATTTAGACTGTGCAAATATATATCTGTCAGTGTATAAAAAGAACTCTTGTTTTAAAATTAGAGTGTTCATGTGCTTATTTCTTGGCCTACAGAGTGTATAGAATATGCTAACAACTGCTAACTTAACCAGGCTTTGGCTCAACCTAAAGTCCTCAGTTTTAAAAATAAAAGAGCTACCTTATTTTACCTCTTTACCTTCCATAGGTGTGGATGGACAGCCTAAAGTGCTAGATGATTTTTCTCAGTTCCTTGACATTCTAGATGCTTGTATCACCTGGAACTGTTCCACTTCTGAATTTTTAAAACTCCAGTATTACACTGACTATAACTATTTATCCTTCTAGCTTTCTCATTTGCTTACGTCCAGGCATACACCTGTTTGTTTTTTTATTAAAGTATCATTGCTATACAATCTTATGGTGGTTTCAAATACACAACACAGTGGTTCAACAGTTACGCATATTATCAAATCCTTAACTCCTCCAGTATGGCATAGGCCTGTTTTTGAATCTCATTTAGGCCTTCAGTCACTCATCTCATTTTCTCCTAGTCTATGAAACCTCTCATTCCTGACTTTCTGAACACTTTTTATAAGCCTCTTTGGCTTTCATATACTTGTTCCTCCACTGTATCTTACTATAAAACAACAAATCTGGCTCAAAAGCTATGCTTCATTTGGGCTGTGCTTATCCTTGGGCAGTCAACCAATGCTTGAGTACAATCACACATCCATAGACCTGAACACAGACACAAAGTATTTCATTTTTCATCTGTCCTTGGTCAACTGCCTCTCCTACTTTCCTCAGTGACTTTTCCAAACTTATGCCTGACTTTTATCATTCTTCAACCACTTCCCTGTTTCATCCAGTGCCCCCTCTCCAAACAGACAATCCTACCTCCTAATTTCCACAAAAAATTATGACCACCAGGCAGTGGCTCCTTCTACTTTCTGTGTCCACTCTTGAAAATATTCATACCTAGTCTCATGTAGTTCTCTTCAAACTTAAGAGGTATCCATGTCATGCCTTGGAGGAACTTGCTTAATCTTTTGTCCACATTATCTGTAACATATCCTTTAATATCCTTTCAGTCTATATTAACATTAGATGTCTTAAATATAAAACCCTCCATTCATCCCACATTGTAGGAATTTTTTCAATATGTGCCTGCTATGATCTAAATGTTTGTATCCCTCCCAAATTCATGTAGAAATTCTAACCTCCAAAGGTGATGGATGAGGTGGTGGGCCTTTGGGTGGTGATAGGTCATGAGGGTGGTACCCTCATGAATGGGATTCGGTCCTTATAAAAGACCTCAGAGAGAACTCCAGCCCTTTCTGGTATGTGAGGATAAAATGAAAAGCCTGTGACCAGGAAGAGGGCCCTCACCAGACCATGCTAGCATCCAGATCTCAGATGTCCAGCCTCAGGAACTGTGGGCAACAAATTTGTTGTTTATAAACATGTAGCCTGTGGTATAAAAATCATTATAATAGCCAATGGAATGGGAGAGTGTCCTATTTTTCTCAAATAAATTTCTTGAAACCCATGACTATATAGGCTCTATCCACTTTTTTATTTCTCATCTTTCATGCCTGAATCTACATTTTACTTCATGGCCTAAAACTGCTTAAACAGACCTTGCTAAGGTCAGCAAAGCATCCTCCTTGAGAGATCCAGTAACTTGTTCAATCCTTTTCTTACAAATCCTAATTGTCGCACTGGGCATGTTCCCCTCAGCAGTGAAGATCCTTACTCCTCGGCTTGCGCGGCCTGTGACATTCCCGTCCTGCTTCTCCTGGGCTGCACCTTCCTGCTGAGTTTTCCTCAGCTCTTACCTGCATATTTTACCCAATCAAGAATCTGTTACTAATTGCTTCAAAATCTGTTTACATATTATGCAGGCCAAAACATACAAATATGGAAAAAAAAGAGTGGTTGTCTCTATGAAACAAAGTTGTACTTTGGAAAGTCTTGATTTATGAATTGCTTTCAAAAAGCACTTATCAAATTAGACACTGGCAAAAAGGCTAAAAGGGAAAAAAATCTACAACAATGAAAAAGGTACCTGTTTCTCAAAGGGGGCGGAGGTACCACTGGCATTTTGGGCCACACAATTCTTCATTGTCTAAGATGGTCCTAACACATTGCAGGAAGTTTATAATCCCAGGGCCCTGCATACTAAATAAATATCACACTGCTCTCCTCCACCCTGTTACAGAGAACTAAAAACACCTCCACAGATTTCTAGGGAGGCAGCATTATCCTTAGTTGATAACTAATTATAGATTACAAGTATCTTAACTGCTTGCCCATCTTTGAAAAAGAGGTATAAGAAGTAGAAAATGCATTCAAAAGACTGTGTGTAACACCAATTAGCAGACCAACCAAAGAAAACCTCATGGCTATTCATTAATAGATTAGTATTTTAAGTTAAATGTAACATTAAAGGTATTTAGGTATGTTTTTATTTCCTGCTGGGGTGCTCAAATGCTCAATACTGAGTCTACATAATGAACTTCTTTTAAGCATATTTTCTGAGAACTATCATAATTATGTGAGACCCTTATTTCACAGGCAAAGGCTTAGTGCTTTTGCAGCTTTTAGATATTCAGAAGTTGCCAACCTAAAAAAAATTTGAATAAAACTCATTAGAGAAATAACCATTCTTCTGAGAAAGCTCTGAGGGAAGAAACTGCCATGAAAAAATGAGATCCACATTATCTGGTAACACATTCATCCTTAACTTCAAACTTTTTTAAACAACAATATAACCACTACTGAAACATACTGACAATAAAATTTTTTTCAATCAAGTATTAAAAAAATTTTGATTGTATAATCTGAATCACTATTTTCACAATAGACAACAGTCCTTTGTAATTGACAAATATCCATGTATTTTTAGGCATTAAAGCATTTCAAAGGATTTTGGTGACATTTTCTTACCTCTGTAGATTCTGGCCTCCAGATAACAGATAATTTTTAAAATGCAATCTATCAGAAAGAGGTATATATTGAGTAGTTCTTCATCTCTAACAGTTTTAAGATGTAAACTTAACCCAAAAGGAAAATATTACTAAGCTTGCCACAGGAGACAAGTTAGAAATTGTTTAATAACTTAATCACTAAAATCAAAGATCTGAATAATAAAGCAGAAGGAACTAAACTTGGGAAGACTGTCAAAACTATTTGCTTATACTTGGCCTCTCTAAAAAAATTCTCATTATTAGAGATGCTTCCATCATTGTCTAAAATCAAATGGCAATAAGAAGTCTAGATCAACAAAATATTCTATTTCCAAACACTTTCCTTAAGTTAAAAGAAGATACTGACATTTGTTAGCAGACTGGGAAATCCATTTTAGATACTGCAGTGAATACAATGTTTATATATATAGAGGGCCCTTAAGTCTTGAATAAAGAAATGAGAAATAGAAATCAGCAAGGATTGAAAAAAAGTAAACAAAGCAGAAATAACTATAAGCAAATTTCAAAAACAGAAAAGAGTTCATTGTGTTCATTTCTTGCATGCAAGTACATTCTTCAGGAATTTTTATTTATATGAAGGATATACATACCTATGCACCAACTTTTACTAACTGAGCAAACTTCCCTTGAACCAGGTTTCAGCCTTTGCTTAGAGGCATACTAGGTTTTCCCTGCATGCTTTCATTCTGGGCCCTTCTAAAGGAGATTTAAGCACTGAGTGCTCTCATCACATATTCTGTCTCACCTAAATCTTTTATTTTAAATCACCTTTACTTGTTAAAAAGTAACAGTTCCATGAATTGGAATATTAACATTACTCTAGCCTCATTTGTATGGTCTCTAAACATCTTAGACAACAGCAAATGCTACTGTTACACCTGTTATCAAATCTTTAGGAGTTGTTACATTTAACTAGAGAAATGATATTTGTTTATACTACATGACTACAAATTTAGAGTATATAATTAATTGCACATGCTGAAGTTTACTTTTCCACTCCATTAATCATAATGAGATTAATGATTGTTTAATCAGGTTTTTGCCAGTGAGCAAAAATCTGGGACCGAATCGCTCTTATAAAAAGTAAATTCAGCAAGTAGGAAAACCCTACATAATAGTTTTCCTTGCTTTCCCTCTCTTCACCTAGTGTCTAGAAGAATAAGGAATAAACAAAGAAGTACATAAGTGCTTTTTCTTAAAAATGTTTTCTCCAGATTCCTAAATCTATTACTCCACTTGTACTTCATGACATCTGTGCCAGTTACAGATAGTTTATATATAGTGTATAGTCACCTGTCACAAAGTCTGTAGAAGGGAAGAAAAGTGAATATTTAGTGTTGATAGAGGAATTTCTGAATCATCTGCAACCCTGAATTAAACAACAGGGCTAAAGGACTATGCCCAGGGCCTTGAAATCAGAATGCTAAATCATATTGCCCAAAGAGACAATGATTCACTATACAAAATGTTTATTTTTCAATGTACTTACGGTAGCCACATTTTTTACAGCCTGCTCGGACACTGTCCTTGTTGCAACCTGAAATACAATTGGATAACATTTTAGGTGACATATAAACAAAAGCATAAAAATGTCATCACATGAAAAAGCTAAGAAAATTGCTTGTAGAATTTATTTCTTAAAAAAAAAAACATCCCTGACCGATCTTAGTACCACTACTCAATTGTAATGATTATTAGAAATCATTGGAAAGCCAGCTTACTCAAATTATTTTCCTTGACAAATACTTAAAGAACAAATTTTTCTCTAATTAAACATAAATGAAGTATTATAGTCAAGACCTTACACATTCCAGGAATTCTCTAACACTGAGGAAGAAATTCCAGGATATTTCACCCTGTCCCTCAAATGTGAAATAATTACTTTACTAGATACATATGTGTGAACATTCAGGTTAGTAGATATTTTTCTGCGTTCACTTAGAAGAAAAAAAAGTTGAATTTCTTAAAAGAATTGGTTTAACTCCAGAAAAATACTTCAATTTCTAGGTATTATAAGAAACACCTCAATTTAGCATTTAAATTTGACAAGAGAAAATAAATTAGTCACATATTCAGTCTTCAATGTTTAGAAATATTTACAGTGTCTCTATAATTAGTGGTACAGGCAGGTAATATTGAAGATACAAATAACAGATGAAATAAATTAAAATTGACTTTTTTTTTCATTTACCATCTATCATTTTTAAGTATACAATTCAGTGGCATTAAGTGCATTCAAATGTTGTACAACCACTGCCACTGTCTGTACTCATTAAACAATAAAGGGCCATTCCCCCTCCCTCTCGCTCCTGGTGATCTCTGTTCTACCCTCTGTCTCTATGAATCTGCCTATTCTAGGTATTCCAATGTGTAAGCTCTTGACTGTAACAGAATCATACAATATTTGTCCTTTGGCGTTTGGCTTATTTTACTTAGCATTATGTTTTCAAGCTTCATCCATATTTTAGCAATCAGAATTTCATTCTTTTTAATGGCTGAATGAATAATATTCCATTACATGGTTGAAACTGATTTTAACCTATTATAAGATTATCAACCAATCAGAGGGCAGTACAATATGGTATTGGTCTATTTCCTTAATGAAGGATATAACCTAAACATTTCAAATGGAGATATCCCAATATAATAAAGTACATAAAGTACAAATATAGTACAGTGCTAATTAAACAAAACCATTTTCAAACCATTTAATGGTATAACATCAAAACATGAAAGATTTTTCCCACATTCCAATTTTAATTTAAAATATACAATATTGAGTTGTTCTAATAAAAATAGTCAATTCTGTTATAATGCTTGTTTTAAAAACATGAATTTATTCCAATAAAACTGATATGAGGGAATAATTGAGTATAACGTGACTTTTGTTCACAGAAAAATACTAAGTGAATGCAGAAAACTGTATCCAGTTGCTCCAAGCCTCACAGAAATATAGAGGATACACATGGACATGCCCCAAAATATTTCTAGTGACTCAGTTTACCATGTGTGTTGTGAACAGCACCCATCCACATCTGGTATCACACCCTCCATCGGATTCATACTATCACCTTCCTACCATCACTTCAGAACGACTCACAAGCTGTAATTCTTCAGAATTCCACTGCCACAGCAAGCGTCAGGTCTTTTAAAAGATAAAGTGCCCTACTTATTATAGTATTTATGTACCATTTAACCAATTAATATGAGCAAAACCGTGCTGTTTTTATTAGGTTTCTGTGATTTTGCCTATCACTGATGAAATTTTTGAGGGTTGTATCCCAACCCCATTTTTTCTCATAAACCTTGTGGTTTCTGTTACATAGTGTAGGATCAATACACGCTGCATTGCAGCAGAACTGTGAATAAAATTGGATTAATAAAATCTGAAGCTCTTTCATTATAAAATGAAATGTTGGGGAAAAAGCTCAGGAAATCCAGGTCAATGTTAAGTCCGTTTCCACAGAAACCAAAGACACTGAATAATACTGAACAAAACTGTGGTAAATGCACCATTACCATTCCCACAATAAATGAAAAATGTTGTAATGGCCAGATCCAAAACGATCACATCTCAGCATGTGTTAGGAATTAACTCATTTATGACTAAAGACACTGACAAAACACCAATTCAAGTTATTTCATATTTTTGGAATGAACAAAATATAAAGCTTTCAGAGCAGGTCATCTTCTTTAATAAAGCTGTAACTTTTATATGAAAGACAAACATTAAAAGAACTCTAAATAAATTAACTCTGTATCAGCTATTTCCTCACCAGCCTGGTTCATATAAACTTTAAGCTTCATTTGTCTGTAAGTTTCATGACTGCCCTGCTACCTGAATGCTTCTATCTAGGACTTTCAATCTGAAGCAACTGACACAATAAATCTGAGATGAGTGACACAATGAAGTGAGGGCGGTTAATTCATTTTGCTATGAGGATCCGGTTTCTAGTGCAGTGAGGCAAAGGCAGAAGCCCTACCAGGTCTGGGCTTGTGCAGGACCTTGGCTATTCTTTTCCTTGGTCTTGTCTGTTTTCTAAGCCTTATTAACCTTTGCTTAGATTCTGTGAGCTCCCTGATCTCTTTCCTTTTCTGCTTAAATTAACTAAGCAGTTTCTATTGTTTGGCACAAGAACTCTGCTGATAACAGTGGTAACTGAAACCCACATCAAATTAAATAGCAAGGCCAGATTGTGAGGCCCTTAGTCTGATGAGTTGTCCATTTTCCCATTTTAGGTTCTCATGCTGTTCTCTGTTGCACTCTTCAGAGTTTGCTATTCAGAGTGATAGAGTTTGACTGTCTTGAAATGTTTCTTCATGATCATGATCTACAATCCAAAAACCACTAATTAAAAACTAAATCTGACTACATAAACATCTGAATAACAAAGACAACCAAAAGCAAACTCAAAAGACACAAAAACTTGGGAAAAAATATTGCAACACAGCAACAACAAAGGGCAACGATCCCTTCTATATAAAACCCAGCAAATCAGTAAAAGACAAATAAACATTAAGAAAAAAATAGGCAAAAGAGCTGAATAAAAGTTCATAGAAAAGGTAATAGAAACGTATTGAAACATATGGAGAGATGCTCAGGTTTATTCTTAATATATGAAATGTACATTAAAATCTATCATGGGATTTCATTTTCACTTAGCAGAATAGCAAAGACTGAAAACATTAAAGAATGGATGGGGGGACATACTCCAGTGCATTGCTGGTAGGAGTGAAAATTAATACAATTAGTACAAAAGCTATCAGAACTATAAATCTACATACTCCTTTGACCCAGAACTTTCACATCTGGGAATGAATCTTACTCATTTATTTGCACAAATGCACACTGACTTATGTACAGTTATTCACTGTAGCACAATTTGTAATTAAGAATAGAAATAATTTAGAAATGATTCAAAAATAAATAAATAATGGTATGAAAGAAAGAGGATGGTTTTTACATAATGATATGTGATGATCTCTAAGATATATTAAAGAGAAAGCAAGGTGTAGAATGGTATGATGCCATTTGCATAAAAAGATTGCATTAAAATTGATATAAATATAACTATGTAACTATACAATATACACTATATATATAGATTTTATTTGTAGATGGAGATATGTAAAAACATCTCCATAAGGATATACATTGGTTACCCGAAGAAAGGAGAACTGGGTCCAGGGGGAGAAATGGTGAGAGACATGTCACTATATACATTTGGTACCTTTAGAATTTAAAACATGAATGAATTGCCTTCTGAAAAACCAAACCAAAATACCTCCCTCTAACAAAACAAACGCTAACACTTTTAAGTTGTTATGCAAGTATTCTTTGACAAAAGGCAGTGATTTCACTCACAAATTCTTCAGAGAAGCTATGTTGCAAATTTTCAATAAAAGTTTATTAATTATGGCTTTAGGAACAAATTTAAGAGGTCTTTATTTTTTATTATTTGTTAAATATTAACAAAGGCTCACTCTGTATCTGGAACTCTAACATTAAACAACTTGAGTGGTGGGAAGGGCACAACTGGCCCTTTAACTCCCATAACTTAAAGGAACAGAGAACACCAGTTTCTCTAGATTCTGGACCATGCCAGACATTTCAGTATATAGTTCAGTGTGTAGCATAGCGCAGTCACTAGGGGGTCCTCAAAAAATATTTGTTGCTTTGAGGTTATAAACTTATATATTTCAGCCATTGGGTATCAGTAACTTCTGTAACTCCCACTGCCAGCTATGAAACTAGATAGTGTCTGCAGTGTCACTGGCCTATCAGAGGCATGACAAGCACTAGAAAAACAGAAGAAGGTTAACAACAGAAATCAAAATAATGGTTGCTGGGCAGGGAAGGGGGAAATGACAGATGCACAGGGAATTTTCTGGGGTGATAGAAATAGTAAAAAACTTGATCTGGGTAATAAGTAGATATATGTAACTTTCTTCAACCTGTACACTTGTGATTTGTGCATTTTATTTTAACATATGTAAATTACACCTTAGTAAATAAAATAGCATAAAAGAAAAGGAAAAAAAAAAGTCGGGCAAAGAAGGAAAAGAAAAGAGAAAGGTCAGAGAAGGCCAAAACAGCAGGGACAAAGATAAAGGGAATGAGAAAACGTGAGCACAAGGGATGGAGTGGCCCTGGCAGTTGCTTCTGGTTGTTCAATGGCCCCCAAAGTTGTGGCAAGCCATCATATTGACCTAAATTTATTTTCCTGAAATTTCACATCATGTATGTTTCCAAAATCAACAATTGAGTCACAGTGATCAACAATTGAGTAGCAGTGATCTTGGAACTTAATATTATATTTCTCTTTATTTCAGGTTTGGGAGAAGCTGGTCAAAGCTTTCTTACATTAAAATATTTTTTACAATCATTTAAATTTAAAAGTCAACAGCTTAACTAAATTTTCTTTTATTAAGTAATTAAAAATTGCAATTGCCTCTGTCCATTCATTTTTAATTTGATTAGATTCAATTAGATTAGATTCCTTTTCTGTTTTGTAACACTCTAAGTTTTACATTTGGTATTATAATTTCAATTACCATAATCTGGGGCACTTAAAAAGAACTTCAGTTTCTTCTGCTTTTAAAATTCAAATTGTGCCAGGTTTTATATCACATAGGTGCTAATATCTATGTATGTATTCTGCTAAAGTTGAATGCAAAGTAAAATTCTAAATATTTAAACTTCTCTAGTGCTTTACAGTAAGAATTTATAGATTTATACATATAAGTTTTTCTTTGGGATCCCCAAATATTGAACTGAAGGCAAAGTAGAAAGAACAGAAATTAAAAATTCTTTATTAATTAAAAAAATAGGTTAAGTGGGATTTTGATGTAAATATTTTGAAAGAACATACATCCTCACCCTAAGTTAAAAATGCTTTCATGATCATTTGGTCTTCAGAAGAAGAGATAAAGAGTTGCTTAAGCTATGATGTGAAAAAAGCTAACAATTAAGTAAATGTATAAAATGCTTTCACCCCCTTGGCTCACAAAATACAAACTGTGAAGATAAAAAGCTATAGGTATTACCAGTTTAAGATAAGAAGAGACATGGAGAAGTTTAATTTATTTCACAAATAGAATAAAAAGACTGCTGTCTAGTTTAGACTGTTTGGTATTTATTAGATCCTGTTCAGCAACAATTCTAATGACCAACCCTCTATTGTTTATCTTTGATGGGCATAACTCTGAACTGGATGGTAAGCCATATAGATGAATATCGTTCCTACACTTAAGGATACTATAATTCACTAGGTTATTCTAGGATAATATATGATAGAATGTGCCAGTGTAAAAGACACACAGCTCTAATAATGAGCAGGAAGGATGAGCAAATGAGACTTTAAGCTGAGAGATCAGGACAGCTTTCCACAGTTAAGACACGGACAATACAGGAGGAACAGTGATAACAAAAAGTATGTAGGTAGAAAATCACATTAGAGTTTCTGGGAAGAGTTGACCATGTCAGACTATTGTATAAAGCTTGAGAGAAGTAGTGGGAGGAAAGGAGAGCAAGAGAGATTTGGCCATGCTTACGAGTGTGCACTTCATTCTTGTAGAAAAAGGGATCTTTGGCATCAAAACTGTTTAGAAGTGAAAAAAAGCTTAGTCGTCAACTCCTTCATTATAGAGACAAGGAAATTGAGCCTCAGAAAGTTCAGTCACTCGAAGAGAAATACAAAATTCACAAATTGGGTCAAGAACTAAGCTCCTGCTCCCAGGAATGACAGGGTCAGATACATGATTTGGGAAAATTATTTCAGCAGCAACGTGCAGCATAGACCAGGCAGAAACATTATAAATCGTATAGTTTGTGAGTGGAAAGAAACTGGATGTGGTGTAATTTAGAATTCTTCTATTACTAAGATGCTACAGTATTGTGCCTTAAGAATCTGACTGATTTGCCAAATATAGTGTTAATTTGGCTAGAGAAAATTCCCTATCTTGACTCCACACAGATTTCACTGAAGGAATGAAAAGAGTTTTTGTGCCAACCACATCAGTAACACACACTGCCACTTGCACTGGGTCAACTCTTCATGGGGAATGGTGAATCATTACCATGAACATCAGAACCGATTTCAACAAATTAGGGAAAAGCAGCTTTTAAAAGATAGTAAACTTTGCTGAAACCTGTGTTTAAATGTCATTTCTTTAATAGTAACTAAGAGCCTATGATTTCCCAAACTAAAAGGCCATGCATTTCATTGTGTTACCTACATAATGGTACAGCTTACACACAATGCTGTGGAAAACAGCTGAAGGGGGTGACCATAAAATAGGCGAGGCTGACTTTCCTTTGTGGAAAGCAGCTTTGTTATTTTATAGTCATACCTTGTAATAATCACCAGCAGGACCACCCAAGAAATGCCATGCTAAATCCATATGAGCATTATACCTAAAATTAAAAGAGCATAACATAATACTTGTCCTTTTTGATAATTATCTCAAAAGGTTTCTGATGGAGTCCTATTTTCCTTTAATAGACTATCTGGATCGATCACCCAAGAAATTATCTTAACATTTGCTGTATCTATATTTTCCAATAGCACTTGCATTGTATTTATACATGCTGCCATGCCTATTATCTCAATTTTTGCTGGGTTTAAACAGCTTAGCTAAGTCTTGCCATCTAGCTTAATGGCACAATTTAAGATTATTACACTTCGAAGCATTACTTTGAATTGAAAGAAGGTTAAACTGGTCTAAGTTTAAAGGAATTTCAATAAGGACTTAATTCACTTTTGTCCTACTAGGTAGCACATTTTCGTTTCTATGCTTAAGTTTTGTGAAGGTGCAGATTGTGACATGGCATCCCCCACAGTGGCTACACCATGTAGGTATTCAAACACACTTGCTCAGGTAATGAACGACCACGGCAGCAGGTCAGCTTTGGAGGCAGCAATCTGACACAAAGATCACCAGGGTGACTGGGATTATCAGGATGCCTCGGTCATCCACTGTGCAGACTGGCCTTTCTCTGTTGGCCCCTTACATGTTGCTATTGCCAGGCTTTGGCCACTGACCTTCCCTTCAGACTCTACACACTCCACTTGGGCAAAGGCATCCACTTCCATGGCCTTAACTCATTACATGCTGGCTGCTGCCAAACTGTTGTCTTTGACTTTTGCTTCTTTCCTAAACTACAAATTTTATCTTACTGTGTATTTGGTATTTCTGTTCCTTTGTCTGATTATATCTCAATCCCAACCCCATAGTGGAGGTGTCATCATCTCCCTTGGCTCCCTGAAAACCTGCTCCTTCTCAGGTGTTGCCTATATTAATAAACAGCCACACCCAACTGTCTGAGAGTGAAACCCAAGTATACCTCATTTCCTCACATACCCACTAACACTGAATCAAAATTCCTAGAAATCCTATACTAAAAAACGTATCTCCAATCCGCTTCTCTCCTTTCCTACTGAAACCATACCGGAGGTATCATTGTAACTTACCAAAATTACAGTGATGACTTTGCCCTCAAACTAGTTCCCTTTGAATCTACTGTGCAGCTGGAGTATCTTTCTAATATGTGAACCTACTTAAAAACCCTTAAATGGCTTCCTAAGGTGCTTAGGAAGACATCCAAACTCTTTGTCATGGCTTAGAAAGTCCTTTAAGACCTGGCAACACCTTGTAAATTATACTATAACAGGACAACATGAATAAGCACATGGGGTCTAGAGGAGCTAGCCTAACCTGTCACTTACTAGCTGTCATGTAATAGGCAAGTTACAAGGTTTCTCTGTCCCTCAATATCTTCATGTGTAAAACGGAAGTATCTCACAGTGTGGGTGTGAATGTTAAATGAAATAAAATGTAATACTGGACACAGTGTATGACACATCTGACACAGAGTAAATACTTAGTAAATATTAGCTACTGTTACTATTTCTCTAGTTGATTTCTCACTTGTCTTACTTGTATTCTGAGTTCCATGCATTAGAACATCCTTCCTTCCCTCTTCTCACACATTTCTTCTCCCTTTACGTATGCAATCCTCTGGCTGCAACTCCCTCTCCCGGCACTCCACCCCTCCTGCAATTCTTCAGGTCTCATCCTAAATGCCACATCCTCTGCAAAGTCCTTCCGGTCCCTCCTGTCTCCTGTTAGGTGCCCTTATTATGTGACCCTGAAGGCTTTGTATTTTCCTTGCCATCCACTTGTCCTCGTGTTACCTTCTCTCTTCACTGCTAAATTTTAAATTCTGTGTAAAGAGCAGCTGTTTTGCTCACTGTATTCCCAGTGCCTAGCACGCGGTAGGCACTTCGTAAAGATTGCTTTCTGTGAGTGAGGGTATCTTTCCTCTCACAATTCCCCCTGTGCTCCTTCCAAAACTTAAGTTGGTAAAGAAGTATAGCCTTCCTGGAACATCTGTCTGCAAAATACAGTTCAGAAAAGGCTGCCCCAGAACGCGGTCAAATAATACTGGGAAGAACAAGTTAAAACAAAGCTGGGCGTCTGAACCACAGCACTTCTGAGTCTCTTACGTATGAAAGTACACTGTGAATCTTCAAGTTGTGTATGTTTGTGTGGGGGTGGTGGTGGTGTATATTTCTCAAAGTATGTCGTGTAATCAGTGTTTTGCAGAACACATCGTGGCAAAGCTGTTGAGGGAAAGGCTTCCCTCTACTAGAACTTCCAAGTAAGGTGGTAGCTGTGGACAGGGAATCTCTGAAGCACTGACTTCGCAGGCTTCACTGTTTTAGGTCGGGACACACTGGACCCAATCTGAGCGCTGGAAGGAACTTCAGACATACATTAACAGAGTTCCTTCTCTTATTTTACACATGCAGAAACTGAGGCCCAAAAGGGCAAAGCGACCGGTCCACGACTACAAAGCAACTACATAGAACAGGAAGAGAGAGAAATAGAAGCCCACACGCCCATTTCGTCCCTGCGACTTGCACTACAAACAATGCCTCTGATTTCCCATCTCAAATTTTATTTTCAAGTCACACCAAAGTTAAGGTCAGTTTTTCTCGGCTCGCAGCTGGTTGGCCTACAGTCACTGCCCCCGGCCTCCCCTCCCACCCCCACGATGAGCTTCCAGGGCAGGTGGAGCTTGGCTGGGGCGGGGAGACAGTTTCTTTCTTTTCTTCAGAGTTTATTTTTGGAGGGTAAACTTCCCCATGTAAACCAAACGAACCTGTTAATTTTAACGCCTGCGCTTAAATCCCCTTGGGCGGTACTCCCCACCCCAGCGCACCCCAACCTCCCCTCCCGTCCCCTTCCTCGCCCCTTCCCCGCCGTTGGGTTTCACCTGGGACGGCCATTGAGCTGGTAAGAAGGGGTCGCAGGAGCCCTCAGCTTTCGAGAGCGCGCTCCCTTCCCGCGGGCCGCGAGCACAACGAACGGCGAGGGCGGCCTCTTCCACCCACGGCGCGGCACCTCCGTGACAGTTAGGGAAGGCCCTTGCTGGAGGCGGAACCAAGTAGCCGCTGATCCAGTTTCCGGAAGACTCACATTGCAGGCCACACATAGTCTGAACCATTACTGCTAGCCTCAGAGGGTGAGTGAGACTTGCCACTCGCGTATAGTGAAGCAAACAGCACCAAGACTTACAGAGTGCTCTTTTAAACATTGTAATACAAATGCAATTAATTTTCGGGGGCTTAATAATCTTTTCTCGTTCCCTGGAGGCCTTCGGAACCCCCTTCTCAGGGTTAGCGGTGGTGGGGTCCGGGAGCAACATGGCGGCGTCCGTGAGGCGCTGCTTTGGGGAAAAAGTAGTGTTCGGTGTCGCTGTCTTGCGGGAATATTGACAGATTGGCGCTTTCCGCTACCACCCGCCTACAGGCAGCCTGTGCTGATAGGTGGGCAGCTTTATCGTCCCCTCTGATTCTCAAAAGCAGGGTCCTGAGCACTAACGAGCATGAGCAACATCTACATCCAGGAGCCTCCCACGAACGGGAAGGTGAGAGCCTCATCTAGGGTACCTGGGCTCCCCAGTGACACCTCACCCATCCAGGGAGTTCTGGGGTCTTAGGGGTGGAAGAGGTCACAAAAAGTTTTGTCCTTACCCTTGCCTCTGAACAAGATTGCATCTAAAACTATCTACTGGCATTTCTCAGCCTATGCTTGAAAAAGTCCTCTGGTGGAGATTTCTCCATCTACCAGTCTTCTTGCCCATTTCTTAATTCAGCCTAACTCACGAAGGCGTTTTCTAGGATCTCAGGTAAAAACTTCAGTACATTTTAAAATTTGGCATAATATTTTGCCTAACTTGGACATCGCTCTTTCTGTATTCATTCTAAAGTCATTTGTTGAACGCCTGCTAGGCAGCGGGGACAGTACTAGGTGCTGGCAATACAAGATGAATGGATAAGCTCTAGTTGTTGCCCTAGAATTGCTTATTGTGTAGTTTGGGAGGCAGGCAGGTAACAAAAAGCCTCTGACATGGTTGGTAGGCTTGCTTACTGAGAGAGGAGCATATTGCTTATGGTAGTACTGAAAAGTGAACAACTGAGCTAGTAGGGGAAAGCTTCATGGAGGAGATATCTTTTGAGCTGGTCATACAACATGAGATGATTATCACTCAGAGAAAGTGGAGAATGGGAAATATTCCCACACTGGAATAGGAGAATGATTTCCTGATTAATTTGATGGTCAAGGTATGTTAGTTCCCCCCAAGGTGTGTTTAATGCATTATGAGGCAGAGGAGTCAGTAGTGGAATAAGTATCACCTGAATTCTTGAACTCAGACTTAGTCTGTATCACATATGAAACGTGATGAACCAGCATAATGGAGAAAATATTGGGACTGAAAGTGTATAGTTGAATTAGGATAGACTAACTTTATCAGATATAAATTCTGTTGCATGACTGTATCATATGTTATTCATGCAATCTTCTATTGATTGACATTTTGGTGATATAATGGAGGGAATTTGAAAACAAAACCCAAAATATTGTAACTGGTATCCCCAGGAAAAGTTTTAGGGGGTATTTTGGGCAGAGCAATTCTTTTAATTCTTTGTGGTTTGTACTTTTCCCCACTCCTCACCCCTACCTCATGTCGTTGTGAAAACTCAGAGTACCTATCTCTTCATGTTTCCAAATTGGTTGGGGTGTGATATCACCCTCAGTTGATAAACACTGGTAGAGATTGAATACAATGATCACCCTGCTAGGCAGGGCCTTCAAACTTGCTGTTCTTCTCTTTAGTATACTCTGACCTTTTCAGATGTCACCTTAGCAGATAGGCCTTCCCTATCTACTCAAAAGTGGCAAACCTCATTCATATCCTGCTTCCCAGCATACCCTGGCCCCCTTAAGTTCTTCAGTTTTTTCTACAGTACTTATAATTTATTGTTTAATATCCCTCACCTTCCCCCCACTAGATTGCAAGCACTATGAGCACAGAGACCAGCATCTAGAATGATACTTTGACACATGGTAGTAGGAGTTCAAATATGTACTGAATTAATGAATGACTGCATGCATTAATACTATGTTTCTCTGATTCTGAGAAGTATTAAACATAAGCGAATTTGATGTTATACTTCTGCTGGTCAAGGGCAGTCTTAGTAGTTTTACTCTGGAGGACGATTTGACATAGTCATAAAGATGAAAAGCTTTAACGAAGATACATGCCTGAACAGGAGATGTTTCATTCAGCAAATATTTTTTGAGCACATAGAACATGCCAGGCACTGTGCTGGGTTTTAGGGATACAGTAGAAAGAAAAACTAGTATTGTCCCTATTATCGTGGAGTCAGTTAAGTGAAATACATATCGATCAAATAATCCTGCAAATAAGAGTATGTAAACTGATAAATACTCTCTTTCTTCTGAACAGAAGTGGGCTGAGGGAGAGCATCAGGTGTGGCCCAACTTTTCCTTCAAAAACAGTTTGGGACTTTTTCCAAATAAGGCTGATTGAAGACACTGAAGCTTCAAAGTTCTGTACCATAGAGACCTTGGCAAGAATTTTGGCCTGGAAAGAATTTAAAGCAGAAATAATTACAAGATTGCTTAGTGAATGTTTGCTCAGTGCCTATACTGTGTAATGTTACATTCGGTACCAAGAGGATAGAAGTTGCAGAATAAATGGGACACAATTCCTCCCTTTCAAGGATCATAATATCAACTTGGGAAGTAATTAACACATCATACCGTAGTTGACCCCTCACATTCATAAGTGTGCTGTGTTTTGCTGTGTCATGCTATAACTGGCCTCTGAAGATGAGGTACAGAAATGTACCACTTGATAGAAATTTCCTTAACCTCTGAAGATAAAATTTCCACATAGTATGATTATTTAATCTGAACTGCATGTAAATGTAAGTTTACTTAGGAAACATTTTATCATCAAAGTATTGCCCTACTTGGGAACTTTATGAAAAGGAACCACTGACCTCTGACAATGTAGTGATGGCAAATAGGAATGTATGGCCAAAGGAAGAGGAAGCTGTATGCCTTCTTTTTCAATTCACTAGCTATCAGTGAAAAGATCAAGAAACTCTGGTAAACAGTGGCCCAACCATATATGCATTCTTTTTACTGAGTGTAAGTTGCATGAGGCAAAAACAAAAATGTGTAAGAATAATAACTACAGCAATAATAGCTACCATTTTGTAAGCATATTTGTCAGATACTGCTGTAAGCAGTCTATGCATAGTCAATCATTTTGTTCTCATAGCAAGCCTATGGGGATATTACCATCCCTATTTTTAGATAAGGAAACTGAGTTGCAGAAATGTTAGATACCATGTTAGATACCATGCCGAAGGAAACTTTCTTAACCTTCCTAAGTGGAAAGGTCAGTATTTGGACAGCCTGACTCCAGAGTCTGGAAAGGCAGGGGGATGATGTGCCTTAATTTGTTCTTCCGAGCAGTGGTTTCTAAACAGTGAGTGCATACTTCAGGGGGTGTACAAAACATCTATGAAGTGCAAGGAGAAAATTTATATATTTCTGTATTTATTTTCTCCTTTATTTGTTTAAATTTTTATGTAACATTTTATGTATAAAAGGAACATAAATTCAGTTACTTGTTCAGTTACTTTTTGTACATCATTGTAATTTTTCCTAATGCCTTGCTAAATGGGTTTGTATTCCATGGTATCTAGATTAACTAAACCAGCCCTTATAAGTTTCATATTGAAGATAATATTAATAATGTAAACTTAAGCATGCCATAAGAATATGGGAGAGCTGATGTCTCAGCATAGGAATTCTGTCAAAAACTACAAATTATTATGAAAATCATTTGAAATACAGGTTTCTATTATTGTTAATGGTGAACTTTGCTTCACATGTATATTGTGCCTAGACATATTTATCAGTAGAATATAAAGCCATTATGATTTTCAAGACTTAAAAACTGTTTACAGAGGAAGATGGACCTCTATAATTTGAAAGCAACATCATGCTAAGTGAAAGAAGCCAGATACAAAAGGCCATACATTGTATGATTCCATTTATATGAATATTCAATAGGCAAATCTATAGAGACAGAAAGTAGATTAGTGGTTGCCAAGGGATAGGAGTAGGAGGAAATGGCTGACTGCAAAAGGGCACAGTGTTCCATTTGGGGTGATGAAATGTTCTGGAATTAGCTAGTGGTGGTGGTTACATAACACTGTGGATTGTACTAAAAACCACTTTTAAAAGGTGAATTGTTTGGTATATGAATTGTATCTCAATAAAGCTGTTATTTAGAAAAAGTTCATTGTACCATTAGTGAAGAATATTAACTTAAGAATTATTTCAAAATAGTGTTTTTATGTTATTGTTTAAGCTTTTTGTGTTGTCTAACTTTTTAATAATATATTACTATAGTAACATAATACTACATGTATTTAACTATACATATTGTGGATGGGTGTGCTCCAATTCCTTATGCCCCTTCCCACCTGCCTTTTCTTCTTTCCTAATAGGCATACACACTTACAAAAAGTTTAGAAATCACTGTTTCAGAACTGCAAGGAAGAGAAGATGTGGTTAGTTTCCCTTTAATAGTAGTGCTTTTTTTCAAATATACAAGGGGTTAATGAAGTAGGACAGGACATTTTCTTTTTACTTATACTGTACTTTTAAGAGTGGGATGTACTTCAGGCCTCATGGAAAATCAGAAGGTGTTACATAGTGTTGTCCTAGATACAATCTGAGGTCCAGGGAATTACTCAGACTTTCAGTTTGCATCCCAAATGTATACTTCCCAGAGAACAAGAATCCAGATGGGTTAGTTTGTCCCAATCCAATATGGAATATCTTGTTTGGGCATTGTTTCATACCAAGCCAAGTTAGGCCTTGCTCTCAGCCAGTCAATATATGGTTGCTTTTGATTTAGAAACTGTTCTCTATTCAAATCAGGTGTGGCCCGGGTAATTTCTTTTGAGACATGTGGCAGGGCCCTAGAACTTCCTCGATGGACTATTTTTCCAGTATTGTATGGAATTTATGGAGAATTTTGTAGAGGCAATTTGGTGCAATAGGAAAAGCATAGTCTTTGCAGCCAGCAAGAGACCTTGGACAGTCACTTTTTTTAACTCTGGGTTTTTTTTTTGAGTCTCTGTTTCTTCATAAGCCAGATGGGAGTAGTAATGCCTGTCTTATAGGTGATAGGATAAGCAAAGTCTCTGGCACATAAGCTGACACATGGAAGGTACTCAACAGACGTTCCCTCCTTTTTGTAGAGGGAATGTAATGGATTGAGAAAATCGTATGCATGTGTATCTCTAGTTCTTTTATCCTTCTTTAAGATTTAAAGAAACCATTTTAAAAGCTACCACAATAGATATTTTCACCTCCTCCAGCCCAATAATCATTGAAAAATGGTTGTAAGAGATCTGTGTCGCCAGTAAAAGCTCAAAACATATACATTCATCAATATTGTATAAATTATGCAGTATAATCTGGGCTTCTGAAACAGAAATTGAAAGATAGTTATAGCAGAAGTGCACTGATGAGGAGGAGCTGAGAGATACTGCTTTGCTAGTAACAAGCTTTCTGACTGGGTAATTTACTTCTTTTAGGCAGCTGTATAGGGTGGGAGCTTAACTGATGATTTTTAAGCTTCTTTCCAATTCCAAAACTTTTGTGGAAAGTAGGAAAAAGAGTTTTGGAAAATAAAAAGAATGACTTATTTCAATGATACTGACTTCCCGTGGGCACTGGTCTCTTGTTTTTAAATACCTGTTATTTGCACATTCTAAATCTTTGTGATCACAAATCACCGACTGTTGTTTGTTGATTGACACTGGTCTACTTTGGTACACTGTGGGAGTGGAGAGTGTTGCTATGGAAGTGCCATAGTGTTCATATGTAAAGCCTAACATTCCTTTTGATCGTTTGTGATTATTAATAAAACAGTTATAAGCTCTTGCCTCCTGTGGGCTTGGTATGGGTTCTGGTTGTTGCAAAGTGGCTGGCTGTACCAAGGATTAACCCCTTCAGGCCAGTAAAAAGGAACTGTCAGAGAATTCCAATGACCATATAGATGGGTGATTTTAAGACATAGCATGTTAGTTTTACACATACAATTCAGTATTAGACTAAGAAAGTTCCTTTTAAGTGAAGAATGGTAAGATTTTGAATGAGGAACTAATGTTATATGTAGAAGGGTAATTGTAAAATTGTCTTATAGTGTCATAATTTCATGGATTTATTGTTAACTAATTTAATTAATTTCTTAATTTGTTGCACAAATTTTATTGGAAGAAAAGCCATGGGAAATGTACTTAATTAAAACAAGTTTAAATTACTAATTGTTAAATGAATAAGTTTTTTTCTGTAATTAAAAAAAGGCATATGCTTTTTTCTCATAAATCCTAAATTATATCTGAAATATGTATTGTTTCATTGAAACATTGAAATATCTTTAGTATAACAATAAATGCTAAGCAAAATTTCTAATTTTTATTTTAAAATTTCAAACTCATTAGTGAGTGTTTCAAGTTGAGCAGCCATTCAACTGATTATCAAGTCAAAATGATAATTTAACATAATGGTACCTTTCTACAGGTTTTATTGAAAACTACAGCTGGAGATATTGACATAGAGTTATGGTCAAAAGAAGCTCCTAAAGCTTGCAGAAATTTCATTCAGCTTTGCTTGGAAGGTAATTAACTTTTAAGTTTTATTCTGTAAGATAAATTTTGTTAATTTAAAAATAAATGGCAGTGTATTTTTCTACAACAGTGAACATTGGTGTTAAATAGTGATAATGAATGACAGGAGTTGATATGAATGGTATAGCATTGAGCTGCTGTGCCAGGAAATGGAGAGGGAAGGTGAAAAATTTCCTCCAAAATAAATCTAAAAGTCTTTAACAGAGAAATTGATCTCCCCAGATAATACTTTGATCCTTTTTATCTTCTTCGCTATTTTTTTCACTTTTTCTTTCATCCTCTAAATATGAGTATTCCCTAAGATTGCCTCTAGTACTCTATTGTCTTTACTCTTCAGTAGTTACTTCCATCCAAATGACTGTCATATTTAGAATTCTAGCCATTTCTTCTCTTTTTAACTCTGTGTATCTAATTGCCTAGTGGACTTTTCTACTGGAATCTTCTACTGTTGGCTGCAACTAAACCTGTGTAAAACCAAATTTACCTGTTTCTTCCCCAGACTACCTTGACTTTAACCTACATGATTTTAATTACCTTTTACCTAATCTTCCTCTCTCTCATATTCTTAATTTCTCTGCCCTCCTATTTATTCATCTAGAGCTGATAAACTGCCTCAGGCAGTGTGGCTTCTTAGCTTTCTGACTTTATTTTCATTGCACTAAATAACCATATGATTTCAATTGACTATTGTTTTTATTTTCTGAGCAGTTCCTTCCTATTTCCACTTTCCCAATATCCTTGTACCTCCTTCCTATTTTCAGTCTCCTCATATCCTTATCTCCTTTTCAGAATACCTTCTCTTCCCTTCCTTACTGGCAAAATCTACCAACTTTTTAATGTCTGTTCAAAATTCCACTTTCTCTATGAAGCCTTACATCCAGCATTCAATGATGGTATTATCAGTGTCTCTGGTAATTTTTTAGATTGAATCATAAAGTGACTACTTTTCTTTTTAACAAACTTCTCAGAATTATACATCCATTTGAGTGTTTTCCCCTTCAGAATATTTCTTTATAGAACTAAACATTCCAAATATTTTTGTAACTTGTTGACTTTTAGAGTACATTGCACATGGTTTTGAATATCTCTATGGTGACAAATCATTGTCCTTCTATCTGTTTTTTAGAGACAGACAAGGTTAGTCAAGTTACCAGAAAACAGCATTTTGAGTCAAAAGCAAGGTGTAAAAGAGAATCCAAAATAATCAGTAGTAGGGTACAGCGAGAGAGAGCTCTCCAAATAGGTAACTAGACAAATAGATAATTGCTATGGGAACATTTAAGTAATAAAAATATCCAGACTCTCCCATACTGCCCCATAAAAAACTGCTGAAAAATAGAAAAGCCATCTGCAAAAACCATTATAATAATTGCTGTGGCAGGCAGGAAGGAAATTGAGTCAGACAGGTAGTTCAGTTTGAAAAGCCTGAAGTAACTGTCAACAGAGCTGAGAAATACAGTGGACACAGAAAAGGCAGGCTTGTTTCTGGAAAGAAGTTTTGAAGAATCAAAAGCTCAGATTTTACAGGAGAAAAGTGAAAGTAGAAAAACATTAGACCAAATGAATGGCAAATTACAATCCATGACCAGGTGAATGGAAGAAACAGAAAATATCTGGATATAATAGGACAATGAAGAAGAAATAAGGTTGTTAAGTTAAGAAATGATGAAACTTAATTAGAACAATGAAAAATTGTTCCACCATTTATGAGAATACAAGGAGAAAGGACAAAGAATAGGAAAATAATAAGAGAAATAACTAGAGCAATTCTCTTAATTAAACAGGGGAGAGAGAGAATTATTATTACAAAGGCTAACAAGAAACCTGAGAAGACTAATTTAAATAAAGATACTCCAGAATGAATAAACTCGAAGTTTTAAAAATATAATTCACAGAACCCTATTTTAATTCTCTGATTCTATGGTTTAAATAAGTCATGATATTTCTAGATCTTGTAACATTCATGTCAATATATTTTTTTGAAGGGATAGTTTCTAGAATTAAAAAGCAAATGAATAAAAATGAGGAAATAGGAGCCCAGCCTTTAGACATGGCTCTCAAGTAAAAAGGTCTTCACAGTTAAAGGGTACTTCTTAGCCTTTCTTTTTTGTCCAGTTTTATTGAAATATATTGACAAATACAAATCGCATATATTTAGATTGTATGACCTGATTTGCTTACATGTGTACAATGTGGTGATTTATTATACATATACATTGTGAGATGATTACTGCAATCAAGTTAAGTAATATATCCACCACCTCACAGGTTCCTTTTTGTATATGTGGTTGGAACACTAGAAACCTACTTTCTCAGCAAATTTCAAGTATACAATACATTATTACTAACTATAGTCTCTATGCTGCACATTGGATCCTCTGACCTCACTCATCCTGTAATTGAAAATGTGTGCCTTTGACCATCAGCTCCCCATTTCCCCTACCCTCCAGCCACTGGCAACCATCATTCTGTTCTCCAGCTCCAGGAGTCCAGCTTCTTTAGATTTCACATACAAGTGAGACCAGATGGTACTGTCTTGCTGTGTCTGAAGGAGGTTTTTAGTTCTTATGGAAACAAAAGATCTATAATTACTCAAACTTAATCTTGGATTTCAGGTCTTTGTGAGATAGTGAACATTTTTAAATGAGTGAAAATTTTAAAAAATTGTAAGCTTAAAGAGTATATTAAAAAGAAGAGAAGTTTTTAACTTTGATAATTTTATTAGTTCCTCTGAGTATGAGGAAGAAGTAAAATTTTAGGTCTGAAACAAAGTGGGGAGCAGAAAGAGAAGTAGGTAAGAAAATCAAATTCTTTATCTTTTATGTGACTGTTAATTTCTTTACTTCTATTTTACCTCAGGCTTGTCTCTTCAAAGTCCCTGCTTCACAAGTTATCTTTTATCTTCTACCTCCTTTAAAAATAGTTTACTAGTTTACTAGTTTTTTAGAAGTGACAAAAATAAGTATATATTAAGTTAAAAGACTATTTTTATAAAACTAAAGTAGTTGTTAAAAAAAAGCAGAGAGGCTAAATGAGACAGATCACAAAAGAAGTTTTAAATTAAAAATTAGTGATAATATTTATAAGATTAAACACAAAACACAAGAATCTAGAGAAAAAAACAGATAAATGATTTAAAAAAGGCAACTATAAGTTCCTGTATGGTCTTGGGCAGGGATATAATTAGTCATAAATATCATGATAGCCATACATTTGCTACAGCCAGGAGTAAAAACTGTAATGACAAATACCAGAACCATACCATTCATATAGGAGCTTCATTTCTTATCTAAGACACATGTAAATTTCTTTTTCCAATAGTGGAGAAGATTCAGGAGGATAAAATGAACATGCACAATGAAATTATAAAACCTCTTTCTTCAAGATAATTATGGGAATAAAACAAAAATTTAAGAAGAATATAAAACATTATTGCTTACAGCAAAATCTGTTATAGCACATGGTAAGCTGTAAAGACAACTATGAATGCAGTGATTATTAATAAATCGCAAGGAAGTAAAATAGTCCATATAGGGATTTTGTGGAAATTTAAAATTCTAACCATGATAGAAAACAAAACTATTGTATTGTGTGTGTAGAGAAATTTTAGAAAACTCCTACTCAGTACATATAGTAGTATAATAATTTTATTGAACCAAAAAGAATACAATTAGGAAAAAAAATTAAAGTAAAAAATCAACATTATTGAAAGACTTAATAAGTATGAAAAAGGAATAAAATGGGGAATTTTAAAATTTAAAAGCCCAAGTAATAAAGACCTCTTTCATGTCCCCCTTCACTCACGTCTGATAGATCTCTGAGTCTTATTCATCCTGCTTCCCAGAGATTCCTTGAATCTGTGCATCTCAAAATAAGCCATAATCATGTTTGACTCTTTGGACAGCAGGTGTTCTCTCTCTTTCAAGTCTTCCAATCCATTCTCCATCCTGGGAGTTTAAGGGACCTTTTGAAAAAAAGCACATCTGATCATGTGCTCAAAACATGTTGATTGACTACATATTATGGGCCTAAAAGATAAATTTCCATTTTCTGATTGTGGGTAAAATTGCAATATTTCCAGAATCTCTTGCCTGGCCTTAGTTCATCTCCATATTAATAGGTGTTTCCAAAGGATGGAGAGAAGTAGGCCATGTCCATATCAATACAAGGGGAATGGGGAATGAGCAGCACCTGGACCAGAGAGGGTTTTGGTGGGGCCTTTGGAGCCTGGTCGTGAGAGACACAGGTGCGCAGGAGTAGATGACTGCTTGTAAGCAACAAACAGGTTTCTCCCACTTTATTTCTCCCTTTGCCTGATTTTGGCTTCAAAGGTTTATTTGCTCCAGTCTGGGAACACACTTCCCACCAGAGTTACACTGATAAAGATTGCGGTATGTATTATATAAATGAAAATGTTAAAGTTTGACCTCACATTTGTGTTGAACTTGAAAATTTATAGGTTGCTTCCACTTATTTTATTTAATCTGCAGAACAACTGTGTATGTTAATTTATATTATTAGTTTTACAATAAGAAACTTACATGGACAGCATGATGACTATACTTAATAATATTGTATTGCATATTTGGGAGTTAATAGCTAAGAGAGTAAATAAAAGTTCTCATCACAAGGAAAAAAATTTTATAACTGGGTGGTGATTAGATATTAACTACACCTATTGTCATGATCATTTCACCATATAAACAAATACTGAATCAGGATGTTGTACACCTGAAACTAACATAATATATGGCAATTATATCTCAATTAAAAAAGAAAAGAAAAAAGAAGAAAATGGAGTTTAAAGTTGCACAGCTAAAAAAAGGCAAGTCTCAGAACTCCTGACTGTCACGTAAGTGTTCATCTGAGTAAATGGTTACTTAGGGATGTAGGAGTGATAGTTTCAGACCTCTTGGTTTTTGTAGTTTGTGTTGGTACCAAAGAGAACTTGTCTGCTCTGGGGAGCAGTTATGAATATAGATAGAGCTGCCTGATAGCTCTTCTGTGGGAGAAGGGATTGAAAAATATAGGTTGATTTTCCTTTTTGCTTCTCCCAGCCATCCTGTGTACATAGTTGTTACACATTACATTTTTTTAATTGATTTTTTATCTATTTATGCCTTGTAAATGGAAGAAATTATGTGGGTGCCTGTAAGGCACTATATTACAGAACTTTATTAATTATGGTAAACCAGTCACATTTTGATATAAAGTGTCACAAAGTATCCATGTAATAGGTACTTTATGAATTGTATCAGTAATTATATCAGTATAATGCCTGGCCCACAGTAGGCACTTGATAAATATTTGTCATTGAATGAGTTAGTTTGTGTTTAGCTGCAAATAATAGAAGACTTAACTCAAAATTATTTAAATAACAAAGACATTTATCATCCTATGTGACTAGAAATCTGGTATCTTCAGGCATTTCTGTAGCCAGTGAAGCCTTTTTAGGGAACTGTTCTCTTTCCATCTTTCTGCTTCACAATCCTTACTCAGTAATTGATTCCACCTCAGCCTACTCTGTTGCAACTTGTTTTTTGCTTATTTTTATAACAACAACAATAATAATAGCTTTGGATCATTCAACACTTCCTTCAGGGCTAGACAAATATTCTACATTTATTTTCCTTTTGTATTTACCCGACTGATTAAGTTCAAAACTAACATCAGTGAGATAAACTTTTTCTTTCCTTTTACTCAAGGGATTTCTTATAAAACTGAGGTCAAGTTTGCATGGCATAAAACTAGCAATTTCAAAGTGTACAATTCAGTGGTATTTAGTATATTCACTATGTTGTGCAACCAGCACTTTTGTCTAGTCCTGAAACATTTTAATCACCCCAAAAGAATGCCCATTTTTAAACAATCACTCTTGACTTTCTTCTCCCCAAGCCCTTGGCAGCCACCAGTCTGCTTTTCAGCTCTTCAAATTTACCTATTCTTGATATTTCATGTAAATGGAATCATACATTATATGAGTTTTTATGTCTTGGTTCTTTCCCTTAGCATATTTTTGAGATTCATCTATGTTGTGGTGTGTATCCGTGCTTCATTCCCTTTTTTGGATGAGTAATATTCCAGTGTGTGTGTATACACACACACACACACACACACACACACACACACACATATATCACATTTTGTTTATCCATTCATTCACTGATGGACATTTGAGTTTTTAACCTTGTGCCAATTGTGAACAGTGCTAGTATGAACATTCATGTACACTTATTTGCTTAGTACCTGTTTTTAATTTGGGGGAGTATATATATAGAACTGAGATTGTAGGGTAATTCTACATTTAAATTTGTGTAGAATCATCAAACTGTTTTCCCCAATGACTGTACAATCCAACTAACAATGTACAAGGGTTCCAGTTTCTCTACCTCCTCACTAATACTTGTTATTTTCTTTTTGGGTAATAGCCATCCTGGTGGAGGACATGTAGTGTTAGTTTATGCAGTTTTGACTTGCATTTTGTTAATGATTAATGATGTTGAGAATCTTTTCTTATGTGTACTGGCCATTGTTGTTACTTAATATAAATTCTCAGATTCACTCAGATCCTAATTCTTGCCTCTCTGTCCCCATCAAATTCTTTGCTTATGTTTTACCTCATTGAGCTGCCATGCTCCTGCCATACCCGACTTCTCTGTGAAATCTCCTAAATGATTCTAGATTCCAGATAACAAGTGGCATTAGGAGGTCATATATGATCTTGTATGTTTATGCTTCCTAATAATACATTTATATGTCAATATATGTCATTTTTCTCAATCATTTAACAAATTTATTGAGAGTCTAATTGGACTCAGATATTGTGTTATATATTTGGTTTATTTATTTAAAGTTTTTTGAGGAGGGTACATTGGTGCTAGATCTATAATTAATGAATAATTTTGATATATTTTGGGTTTGTATATTATTTGTACAAATTAACTTTCTTCAGAGAGATGAATAATTAGAAAATAGGGCATTCATTTTTCCCAGGGTTCTCAGCCTTGGAGCTACTGACATTTTACATCCGTTATTCTTTGTTGTGGGAGCTCTCTTGCGCTTTGTAGGATCTTTACCAGTATCCCTGGCCCCTACTCACTGGATATCAGTTGCATCTCCCACATGTGACAAGAAAATATTTCCAGATATTGACAAAAATCCCCTAGAGAACAAAGTTGCTACTTTTCCTCCCCCAAGTTGAGAACTGCTGTTCTATACCAAAACTCTTTGAATTTTATTTGAAAACTTTAATTCAGATTTTGAGAATAAATAAAAAATGATAACCACGGTTTCTGTAGAGATTGTATTGTTTTGAGTGATATTTTATGGTAAATATGGAAGAAAAGGCTTTTGTTTAGGAGCCTATTTAACATTCTTGGAAAAAAATCTTGTGACTCCAGTTGTATTATTTCTAACAACTGTAGATACATTTCATTTTGGACTTTGATAAGTTATTTTCAATATTTTCCAGCCTATTACGACAACACCATTTTTCATAGAGTTGTACCTGGTTTTATAGTCCAAGGGGGTGATCCTACTGGTACAGGGGCTGGTGGAGAGTCTATCTATGGAGCCCCATTCAAGGTGAGACCAGATTTTATTATTATTTGCAAGTCAGCTTGGATTGCTTAATTGAAAATGATTGTGCCCAAGAAGAAAATGAACTTCACGTTAGTGTACAAAATTGGATGTCTATCAAATATTTAGGGCTTTATAAGCATAAGAGCAACACTTACTCCAAAAAGCATTCTTTTTAAATCCTGTTATTGCAGATTTTATGATAGATTGAACTCAGGGGGAGCAAAGGTGTTAGTGAGGAAAATAAGTCAGAAAAAAGACTATGTAACATATATTCTGATATCTATATCTGATCTCTACAACTCTGTAAATATAAAACATTTTTAGAACATTGCATATGCTGTCCTGTTTTAAAACACTTTATTTAACATTGTATGGAATTTGTATCAATCCGTGTGGACTGCTATAAGAAAGTATCACTGACTGTGGCTTCAGTGGTAGGAATTTATTTCTCACAGTCTGAATGCTAGGGAGTCTGAGATCAAGGTACTGGCAGTCAGTTCCTCGTGTAGATTCTCTTCCGGGCATGCAGATGACTGCCTTTTTGCTATGGTTTTACATGATGGAAAGAGAAAGCTCTGGTGTCTCTTCCTCTTTTTGCAAAGGCATAAGCTCTATAAGATTCGATTAGGGATTCGCCATTATGACCTCACTGAACCCTTATCATCTTTGTACGGGCCCTATCTCCAGTACAGTCACATTTCAGGTTAGAACTTCAATATATCAATTGACGGGGTTGGCAGGGAGGGGGGCGGTGGGCATAATTCAGTCCATAGCACAATTCATTCTAAATTGTACACAATAGACATGTAGAGCACAACACGAAATTGCAAGGGGAACAGATGAAAGAAGCAACATAGAAAATGTTATTAAGAAGTGTGAGTATTAATCAAGAATAGGTTAGTGATTTAGCTGTGAAGATAGATCTAAAAAGAAAAAAGATTTAATGTCATAGTAAAGATATTAAGAATAACAGTGAATCCAAGTGAAAGCTGAAAGTTAGCCATTAATTATTTATTTATTAATCTGATGGTACCAGTATCCATTTACTGAATGAGTGAACATCAATAGCTCTTAAAATATAGGAGTTTTTGAAGACTCAGTGTTTATACTAATGGGTTAGAGTGTCTAGAGTTTCCTTTGATTTTTGCTGGGTCAATGTGTGATTCTTGAGGAAAAAAAGATTTGAGCTGTATGCTTTAATTTCCAGATAATAAAGGCCTTAGAAAATATGGAATGATAATAAGAAAGTCTTAAATGTCACTGTTAGACTATTTTATGTTTTATCAAATTTAGATGTCTTATGGTTTAGAACCTTCATCTAGTAGGAATCATTCCTTTATTATTGTGTGTAACAGAATAGCTCTTTTTGACAATTCCTTTCTAAATTGAGATTTTTGCTTATTATGTTCAGGTAATACAGTTATCTTGTTAAGTTTTTCAATTAGGTTATTTTTAATGCACTATACAGAGTTACTATATTTTGAGTTAAAATGTCTTAAGAATTATTTATTAAGGAAAAATAATTTCCTTTCTGAAAAGCATTGATTTTATATAACCTGGCTATATTATAAACAAGTCTAGTATCCAGTCTGGATAGGAATTCTGTTAACTAAGAGACTAATGTATATGTTATGTAGCCCTACCACAGCAAGAAACCACCTTAGGAAGGCTTGCCTCTTCTCTTTTGAAAACTGGCAAATGGGACCAGTGCCAGTTCAGAGAAGATTCAACTTAGGACATTAAAAAACACAGTGAACACCTAACACAATCATAGTCAATTCCTTGAATTTAAAAACAAGAAGAAAGCAATTGCTTCATTTAGAACAGGGTAGGGAGGGACAATAGTTGAAGACTCCACAATAATTCAAAGGTACTACACGCTTAGATGACTTTGAGGAATGGGAAAAATAGGGGAATGACTTAGAAATCCATTCCCCTTTGAGTACCCTTCCTCTATGCAGGTAGGTAGTTTTCCTCAAAATAAGCTAAATTTGTGGCTAAATAGATTTAGAAGATACTTACAGGCCAGTGAAGACAAGTTGAATAGCATTGAAGAGATAGTAAATATTGGATTTGATTATATTTGAAAATCAGTTAAATAAAACTTCACCATTTTTTATTGTAAATTGTATGGGAACTTGCAGGGTAGCTGAATATGGAGGGCCTTATAACTGAGGTCATTTACTAAGTCCTTTCTTTTTTATGCTTGAGGATGAATTCCACTCACGGTTACGTTTTAATCGGAGAGGACTGGTTGCCATGGCAAACGCTGGTCCTCATGATAATGGCAGCCAGTTCTTCTTCACACTGGGTCGAGCAGATGAACTCAACAATAAGCACACCATCTTCGGAAAGGTTTGTGTCCAGTTATCTTAGGCTTCTAGGATACATATGGTCAACTATCCACGAGCTGCCTTCATTGAAATATTCCTGAGGATAGTTACTAAATATTTCTAAAAATGATGGAATATATTCCTGTTTTAATGAACTGTGAGGGCCCACCTGAATTTTTGTGTGTCCCAAATAAGTCATCGGTTTTGACTTTAAAATTTTCTTTTTTCTAAAATCATGCTAATGGCATTAGCTACTATGTTACCCAGCTGATATTTTTGTTACATTTTTAGAAGTACTCTTAGGTAATGACATTTAGTAGTTTAAAGTTTATTTTGTTAATGATGAATTCCCTTAAGTTCAAAGTGGAAGTTATGTTAACATTAAAACTTTTTACCTCAAATATTACTTTGAATGGTACTTATCTAATCCTCTTATGTTTAGCATCATATTGGGGAATCTATTGCCATAGAATTTTCAAGTTTTCTTTAAAAAGAGGGTTCTGAAGGTTTCTCCCTTCTCATAAATAGATTCCCATCTGGTTTGTCTTAGGCATGTTGGACATCACTAGAGTATCGGCTCCCTCTGCTGGTTCAATAAGAATTGTTTCCTCATATCCTAGGCAAAATTGGATTTTGCAATGATGAAAGGGAAAAGACAAAGTTGGCACAACTGGGAAATCGGTGTTATTTTCAAACTTTTGTAAAATGTTAAAGGAATCGTTCTAAAAAACATGTGATACAGTATTGTTGCTAATATTTAACAACATGGGTTAAGATATATGCACTGACATATTTGAGCTACTCAACATAGGTTATCTGATATTCATAGACTTTTTCCTATTATTAAAAAAAATGAAAGTTACAATAAAATGAGGTTTAGGTTGCTATTCTGCAACATTGTTTACAATTGATATTATATAATTTACACATTAGACACAAAGTATAGCATAGTGCTGAGAGGTCAGAAAGGCCATCACTGTCAACTCTGTAACTTCTTTGAACCTCAATTTTCTTATCTGGAGGAGGATAATGATAATACCTACTTTTTGTGGGAATTAAATGGGAGAATGTCTCTAAAACATTTACCACGTCAGTTGGCTTGTCATACCCTCTTCTAAAGTTTAAAATTTGTTATGTGGCATTACATTTTTATTTTTAATAAAAATTGACATTAAGTATATATTGAAAATACCCAAAAAACCTTACATAGGGGTTGAGCTCCATCTGTGCTTTTCTCCCTTAAAATGAAGTTGCTCTATTTGCAGTATTTAATGCTTATGCTCTTGTATAACAATGTGAAATCCCCTTTTATTTAAAAATTTTTTTCAAAAGCCCTCCCTTATTTCAAAGAATGAATATGATAATTTGCAACTAGGTTCTCTTTTTTATTTGATAGGTTACAGGGGACACAGTATATAACATGCTGCGACTGACAGAAGTAGACATTGGTGATGAAGAAAGACCACGTAATCCACACAAAATAAAAAGTTGTGAGGTAGGAGCATGATTATTAGGAGGTTAACAACACTTAAATGGTCATTTAAAATAAGTTGATGATTAATATTTTTAAACTAATGAAGCCTTTATACTAAATCAAGTCACAACTCAGATTTTTATCACAGTAATTTAGGCACAATTTCTGATTAAGAATTTTTTTCAATGGAAAGCTTTGAATTCAAATATCAATGAATGAAAAGGTTTGCTCATCCTAGAAAGTTAGAGGAATTAGTTTATTTAGCTCAGTGAAGTGACTTCCTAGGTAATTTCTGAGTGATCTTTCATTGTTGAAGCAAGGTCTTTAAGAGCATTTGATCTGGAATCAAAATATCTAAATTTGTCTCTCTTAACTGTATATTAAGTTTTCCCTGAGTGTTTTTCCCATTTGTAAGACAGGGATAAAATTTAATAGGGCACAGAATTATTTGGAGAATACACAAACTCATGAAAGTGGAAGCAGTTCATGTAGTAAATATATCATTATATTTATAATGGCTATATAAGGAAAAAATGCAATGTATATCAACACAACTAAATATTATTTTAATTTTTGTGAAATTAAAAAAAATGGAATAATGTTTTCAAAATATTTCTTTTCATAGGTTTTGTTTAATCCTTTTGATGACATCATACCAAGAGAAATAAAAAAGCCAAAAAAAGAGAAACCAGAAGAGGAAGTAAAGAAATTGAAACCCAAGGGCACAAAGTAATCATAGTAGAACTAATTTTCTTCATCTTGAAAAACAGCATTGATTGATTTAGTTCATATTGTATCCTTTTGTAAAAATTGTTTACTTGCAAAGGAGAGGCCAGTTTGGACCAGGGAGATGTCTGCATTCTGAATGTGTTTTTTTCCTAAATGTGCATTTTCTTGTATTCCAATATAGCATATAACTTAAAATTAAGCCAAAGAAGTATTGTCTCAGATATCTGTAATAGAAAAATATTTATGATCATTATGGCAATTATTTATGTAAATGGTTGAGATTTTTTTTTGTTCTCTTTTACTGGTTTTTCAGTTAATATATGCTCAGTATAAAAAACTTGACAACTAAAGTATGAATGGTAATGATATAATGAGATGGTTACATAATTTATTTAACTTTTTCACTCCTTTTTTTAGTACTATTAAAAATAATCTTATAAATATTTTTAGACATAAAGTTGTGTCTGTGTTCTGGATTAAATCCTGAGGATAATTTTCCAAAACTAGAAATTTCTTTTCTAAGTAAGTTTTAATATTTTGTGAATAATACTCCTTACATTATTTTGTCTGTTTTATTAAAGTGGATATCAGAGAGTTAGGTTTCAACTTACTCTTTTACTAATCCATATTAGGGATTTTATTGTATTTACAAGTGTTAAATTTAGACAGTTCTAAGTATAATCCTGTCCAACCCAATTAATAAGAAACAAAGTTTATTAATCTTCCTGAGTTTCAGTTTCCCCATCTTGTAAAATGGAGATTATAATAAATGCAACACCTGGTTGTTATGAAGATTAAAAGAAAAGGGGAATTTGAAAACACGTGATAGTGTAGGTATTCAATATATAGTCATTTCTTTCCTTGGCATCCCACAATGTACGTTAAGTTGCTATAAACTGTCAACTATGAGTTAGACACTTTAATAAGCAGTTTATGTCTTAAGTCAAAATAACTTCTTATATAGCTTTATATTTGATTTCCTTTTATTTTTTTGTTTCATTTACTTTGACTAATTTATCTCTGGGTGAAAGGTCACTGTCACTGTATTCGGACACTATATTTTATTACTGTGATTTATCTTGACAACAAGCCCAGAAGTTGGGTGTTTTGCTTTTGGGTTTCATTCTGAGCAAATGGATTAGGGATGATGTGACAGTCATTGATTGCATCTAGGTTTGGAAATAAAAATTCTCCCTTTGTTGCCAAATCTTTTATTTTTCCAATATTTGAGAAAGAGTTTTAATAACATACTATTTATCTCCCTTGGGGTGTGTTTGGTGTGAAGACTCAGAGAAGACAAACTTAGTTTTTCTCCCCATGGCTATGGCTATTTTTTTTGTTAAGTTTATTGCTTTTAATTTTATTTGACAATTTTGTGTAACTTACTAATTTAAAAATATTAAAATGTATTTTGACAGACACTAGATTAATTGCTTCCCATTAGTGCTCTTGGGGCTATATATTTATTAGTTTTTCAGAAGTCTCCATTTTGCTAACCAGTTTTGATAAATATAAAAAGCTTAATTATTTCTGTAATGCTTGACTTAGTATATTTAATGCTAGCGCTCAGGATGGGGATGTATTTTTGGTCATTACATTTGTTTAGTATATGAAACATCTGTGGTCAGAGACCAAAGCCTTAATATTATGCTGAAAATATAATACATAGTATATTTCTGCTTAATACTAAGTCATACTGTCTATTGTTAAATAGTCAGAATGTGTTTCTTCTTGTAGATGCTGTTCTGTTGCTTTGAAAATAGGATATAAATAAGTTTGGTTTAACTTTTCCTTCCTCATTTTCTCTCTTCCATTCTTTTTCTCCTTCCTTGTTTCCTTTTTTTGATTAGAAATTTTAGTTTACTTTCATTTGGAGAGGAAGCTGAGGAAGAAGAGGAAGAAGTAAATCGAGTTAGTCAGGTAAAACTCTAATTTACCCTTTGTTCTGAATAGTAAAAGAAATTATTGTCTATACTACATTTATTTTTTTGTCTCCTGCTATACACGGCTCAGCACATTTTACTTGGTACACATCCAGTAAGTGTTCATTGAACTATTTGCAAAATGACTTGTGTAATGTTGGGTCATTAGTGAATAAGACAAGTAATATTTGCAACTTCTGAGATGATTTTTCCTAAAACATTGTATTTTTTTTTAACCTGGCATTTTTTTTTTAATCTTTTAGAACTAGAGTTAAAGAATGATTTATCTTTATGACTTGGATTTTAACTGCTATTTGTTTAACTGGTTTGCTAGATGATAATGATTATTATCATTATTACAATAAATAATTACAGACCAAAGTTCTTATAATCATTTTAATATTATTTATTATCTATTCATTTCATTAATTTTCATTACAGCCCTTTAAGATAGGTATTATAATTATACCTGTTTTATCCACAAATAAATTAATGTATAGATAGTTTATAATTTGCTCAATCACATAACCAGTAAGTAGTAGAGTGGGGATTTGAACCTATATCTCACTGTAAAATCCATGTCTTTGGGTTGTATATCGCCTCCTAGCTTTTTGCCCTACCAGTGCTTCCACTAGACCTTTAAGGGTGGTTTACCTCAATATCCCTTTTATTGTAATACTTGTTGCTGAAACATCTGCAATTCCAGAAATCAATAGTCAGAGAGGTTAAGTCATTTGTCTAAGACCATGTAATTAAGAGGTGGAGAAATCAGAATTTTGAACTTAGGTTTCTGTAACTATTTCAGTCTCTAATATGAATTTGAATGCTATGCAAGCTGCCTCCTTCAAGCCCAAGCCATCTAAATAAAAGGCTGGAGAGAAATTTCACCAGTAGCATAGTCGGAAGTTGGAAGGCAGGCTCAGTGCAATTGGCTTACTGTCCTGCCCTAACTCTCATAGATTCCTGGATACTTGAGTGACTTTGGAGAGAAGGGTAAGAGAAAGTAGTTTTGCTGTCTGTCTTTTTGTTGAATTAGATTTCTGGTCTAAAGTTTTGTTTATGATTTTTTTTTTTAATTGACCTTATTAGGACGCAAGTTTGAATTTTTTCTATTTATAACAATAGCATGTCTTAAATGTTTAAAGGTTATCTTTCTTCTGTTTATGATTGCACAAAGTAAAAATATGTATATATATATATTTAAGTTATACTGAATATTGAACTTGATACTCCAAAAGCAATTTGTGTTTGCAACAAGGTTGAAATGTGAAAGGATACCACCATTGATGGTGATAGCTTGTTGTTTGTTTGCTCTTAGACCTGAAAAACACTTAAGAAAGTAGAATGATTAAGTAAATTCTTTCTTCTTTGCCAAGAAAATGGCAACCTACAGTCCATTATCGAATGAGTAGTGTAACCCTTGTATTGTGTCACCATATTTCTCTCATCTGACTTTTTAATGAGGGTACTGTGTGATAAAATGACCAAATGTTTGTTTCTGACTTTTAAATCTCTGTCTCTAGGCTGGTTTTCTCTAATCTCTGTCTCTACTCTTCTTTTCTCCAGCTGCCTATTGGACATCTGTTTGATTATCTCACTAGTTACCCTGGCCCTGGCCAAGGCTTAATTCATTATCTTTTCTTCCCAAATGTCTCCCTGTTCTGTGCCTTCTCTCTCTGTTCCCTGGCATCAGTATCCAATCTAATCAAAAGTCAGTTCTGACTTTTCTCTTATTTTTTTCCTGTGCAACCAGTTAGTTGCACTGTTCTACCAATTTTTCATCTGTGGCATATCTCAAATCTATTGTTTCCTTTTAATTTATTTTGCTACTACCCTCTCCAGGCCTTCATTATCTCTAGCCTGGGCTTCTTCCATAGTCTACAGACTGGTCTTCCATTTCCCTCCTCTTCTCTCCATTTATTATTATCAGAACAGTCTTCCTGAAGTCTCTTAAGATATTGCGGTTGCTCTCTTTTGACTTTAGAAATAAGGCCAAATTCTTGGCTTATCATTTCAAGCCTCTGCTTTCATGACTAACCTTCACCAACTCTGTCCTTTAGCTGTGTACTGCTTAAATTTCCCTACTGATAAAAATAATTTGTGCACTAAAAAAATTAAATTCGTAGGCCCCATCACAGACCTGCCGAATCAAAATTTCGGGAAGGGCCTGGGAAGCTGTGCTTTAATGAATTGCCTAGAATTCTTATCACAGAAATGTAGGAAACACTGAGTTAGCAGAGCTGAACCACTTGCTGTTCTACCTAGATGCCTTGTATTTTTCTTTTTTATGTCTTTCTTCATATTCTTTTCTCTGTCTGAACTGTCCTATCCCACTCTTGGATGTCAAAGTCATATTTATTTTCAACACTTAAAATACCATCTTTTCTGTCACTTCTAGTTTTTCTTAATACTTTCTTTTTCTGATCTAATCTGTGATTCTCCTTTTTAAACATATCCTCTTAGCTTTATTACACAAGAAACATGTGACTGTTCTCATTGTATACTACTAAAACATACCTTTTCATTCTGCCTTATTAATTGTGTAGAGTTCTAGGCTGTCAGTTCCTTGATGGTAAACTTTATGTCATCTCTGAGTGGCAGTGTGTTGGAGAAACAGCATGGATTGAGGGTCATACAGATTCATATTGGCACTTCACCTTCCACTTAGATACTTTCTGACCTTGGAAAACAGACTCTTTGAAGTTAATTTTCCTTTTTGTAACATGAAAGTTACCCCATTTAGAATCGTGAAATAAGGATGTAGATAGTCCTTAATTTGGTGTGTTACACAATCTTTTTTTTCAGCATCTATGGAAATGATCACGTGGTTTTTGTCCTTCTTTTTGTTGATGTGGTGGATGATGTTGATGGATTTTCGAATGTTGTACCATCCTTGCATCCCTGGAATGAATCCCACTTGGTCATGGTGTATGATCCTTTTGATATATTTTTGAATTCGGTTTGCTAATATTTTGTTGAGTATTTTTGCATCTACGTTCATCAGGGATATTGGTCTGTAATTTTCTTTTCTGGTGGGGTCTTTGCCTGGTTTTGGTGTTAGGGTATGTTATACAATCTTGAAAAATGTTTTTGAAAGTCAAATGTCTTAAAATAAATAATATACTCTGTGTTATAATTAGTATTTTATTCTCAGAGAGCTGAAGAATATCAAACAGTCTCTAACAGATCGTGATTGCTATGCATTAGCTGCTGCCCTCATGGTCAAGCAGTCTAGAGGGCTTGCCCGAAACTTCACCAGCAGCAGTTCAGCTTTCTGGAGTAGGAAGGCATGAGCCAGCACCATTGGCCTAGCACCCTTCCTGAACATTCCTGTGGGGTCCTGGATAGCAGGTTTAGCAACCTTGGGGAATGTGGGTGTACACCTGTACATTAGGACCACCAACAACCATTCTCCACGTGTGAGTGGGTCTTGGCACACTGTGCAGAGTCTTTGGCCTACATAATTTAGCTCTTCTGTCTGTTTATATAATAGAGTCAAGGATAAGTTTAGGTTGAGAAAATAAAAAACAAATTGTCGAAATGTATTGGCTAGGAGGAAGGAGATTTCTGTAGAGGGCATGAGATAAATTCTAGAGAGAGTTGAAATAGAGGTATGGTTTTTGTGTGTGTGTGTGTGTTTGCTTTTGTACTATTCTTCAGAATGTGAGCAATCTTCAAATACATTTTACCTCTTGGGTAAATGAAACTTTGGCAAGAAGAGGAAAAACTAGTCCAAATATTGAAAAAGCATGACCAATAGAATATATTTTTAAAAATATGGCCTTACTGTTTTAAAATATATTTTGTAAGTAGAGCGAAAGTTAAGTAAGTGTCTTTTAAAATTCTCAATTTCAATAGTTACATGAAATTAAATATTTCTAGAGGGTTTAAAAATAATTGTTTCATTATTCATTTCCTTATCAAGTTTCTTTTTTCAGTGACTCGACAGTGTTAAGCTTCATTCCAGAACCTAACATCACAAGTTAATAATTGGTAAAGTCTGAACTGAGGCTCTACTTTATGTGAAAGGAGAAATAAGAGAGTCCCCTCTGGTTTATGGATTATCAGTGTGGGATTACAGACACTACTTCACCCCACTCATTTATTCATGACAAGGTTCCTCTCCCACGTGGGTTAGCTTTCATTCATTATTTATTTCAGTATCTTTTCTCCTACCTGATAAAATCTCTCTTAGAATAATAGAATTTTATAGCTCAAAGGGATCTTGTCCAATTTCCTTTCTTTATAGATGAGGAAACAGAGACTGTGGTTAAGTGACTTGCCAGACTGACTTCGTTTCCTTTTTGATAGGCTTGCATGATAGGCAAAAATGTCTTGAGTTTAGGAAAGCACATTGTTAGAGCCTGTCATGATATTCTTGCGGACAACATGAGGAAATGTGATCTAGGAGATAGTATAGTCAGATGGGTTTATAGCTGGTTGAATACTTCTGCCCAAAGAGTGTTTTGCTGTCCTCCTGTGCCTGATATTTGAACTAGTAAGCTAAAAAGTAGTAGGAGTACCTGTAAATTCTCTACCGTAGTTTAATGAAATCAGCTGAATATGTGTAAGACTTAATAACCTTTAAGCCCTAGATGAATTACTAAGAGTAAGGTCTCCAAAATAAGGAATTTAACATTCTTTGCACGTTGGGGGAAACCACATCTGCAGCATTTTGTTCTGAACACGTAAGAAGGATACTAACAAACTAGATGCATCCAGACAGAGGGAGGGTTGTGAGGAGCAGGGGGATGATGCCAAAAACCATCTCACATGGGGAATGCTTGAGGAACTAGGTATACCTGGGAGAAGTAAAAACTAAGTGAAAATGTGATCCTAGGCTTCAAATATTTGAAAGGTTTTTATTGGAAGATCTCTCCCTTCATATTGCTTCCTTAAATAATAGTTTCATTCAAGTGGCTATATTGGCTTAAAGTTTACTCCTGAATCTTTCTATATGACTTAAATATAGATGTCAGAAAAGAGTTTTCAAGTGAAGGCTTACAATCAGAAAAGTAGTTTTCATGAGGCAAGTTAAATGGTAGGTCCGTTATAAAAACACATATGCCACATTCACAGTGATAAACATACTGTTTCTCTCACTACAAGATAGGTTAACATTTTTACCTCAACTATACGAACACTTTTTCTTACCCAAAGCAGACAAATACACTGCTTTTGAAAATAAAGTAAGAATGTTTTATCCTATTCTCCTTTATCCTATGAAATTAAAGTTTCCCCCGAAGTTGGAAGGTCAGGGTGGACATGGGAGGGAGACATTTAAAAATGTTTTGCTCTATTAAGTTGTATTAAGCTTTAATTTATTTATCTTTCTAGTTCTTTATGTTTAACTAATTTTTAAAAGTTGTTAATATATTTGCATTAGTTTCATATTTCTGCAACAAATTAAAATAAATTTATTGGCTTAAAGCAAAGCAAATTTAGTATCTTACAGTTCTGGAGGTCTGAAGTCCAAAACAGGTTTCAGAGGGTTAGCTAGTGAGGTGCTGGCAGGGCTGCCTTCCTTCTGGAGGCTCTGGGGAGAAGCTGTTCCCTTATCTTTTCCAGCTTCTAGAGGCTGCCCGTATTCCTTAGCTGGTGGCCCCTTCCTTCATTTTCAAAGCCAGCGATAGCGAGTTGAGTCTCGTGCTTTATCATCTGTAACTAACTGTGCTACCTCCCTCTTTAACTTGTACTCTTAGGATTACAGTGGACCTACGCTGATAATCCAGAAAAATTTCCTCATCTCACAAAGGCTTAATTTATCTGCTAAATCTCTTTTGCCATGTAAGAGTATATACTCACGGGTTTTGAGGATTAGGATGGGAACATCTTTAGGAGGCCATTATTCTGCCTACTGATCTATTTGTAATTTAACCAAACTCTAGATAATATATCTGATAACAGGGATTACTTGGAGTTCATTTTTAGTCCTAGAAGGTAGAACTACGATTGGTTACTTGGTTGGAAATTAAATGCTGAAATATTTTCCCCCCCATTTAGAGAATTATCCTGTAATGGAAACCACTTAAAAAGGGATGATTTTAATGTGTATATAAGGTTATAAGTTCCTTTTGGGTGTGGAGACCCTGGTTTTAGTAGTCAGTGGTGATGTCAAGGAGATAGCTGCTTTGGGTGGGAGACTACATTAAATGGTCTGTAAATATTTTTTTTTTACTATTAAAATTTTCTGGTTCTGTGCTAAAGGTCACAGATAATAGATTTCAAGAGAGATTGAGATTAATAGACTGATTTTTTTTACGTATTGCCTCATGTATTGTGGGGCTGTCAAGTTTAAAATCTGTAGAGCAGTCCAGTAAGCCAGAGACTCAGGGAAGAGTTGACATTATAGTCTTGAGTCCAAACTTCACTATGGAAACTCAGGGAGGATTTCTGTGTTGTAGTCTTGAGACCAAATTGCTTCTTCTTTGGGAAACCTCAGTCTTTGCTCTTAATGCCTTCAACTGAGTAGTTAAGGCCCATGTGCATTTCGGCAGATGATTTGCTTTACTCAAAGTCTGCTCAAAATTTTAGTGTAAAAAAAAAATGGTCTCATAGCAACATCTAGGCTGGTGTTTAACCAGACACCTGGGCACCATAGCATATAATTAACCATGATACAGAGCTAGTTAGAGACTGAGACCCAAACCTACCAACTTCTTGATCAGTGTTGTTGCTCTGTATCACTATGTCTCTTGTTTTCTTTCTACTTGTACCCTGTTTGGTTTCCACTGTTTCATTGTCTATTTGTTCTTGGGTTTGAAATGACAGATAATAATGTAATTTTCCCATATCCTCTTTGATGTTCATTTTTTAGATTTGTTTACAGACAGTTTTGGATTTATTATGGAGCTCCTTGCACTGAATTCACTAAACATATGTCCTGTTTTGTTCAGCAGCTAAACCCTTTAAATAGCTGCTTTCGTGTCATTTAAAAAAATGTATTTTATAATATATTAGGTGTCTTTGTTCTAAAATCTACCTGATGTTATGAATAAAAACCTTAAAATAGGTCATTCAGAAAGAACAGGCATTAGAGAGAAATACTGAATCATTTTTACCCTCTAGGGGACGGGCTCTGAATTTTTTCAGTTCTATAATTGTTTTCTCTTCCTTCAGAATGCAAAGTCTCCTGCAGCACACAGAGGCATCTAAAAATTGCTTTGAGGATGTATTTCTCTGATAATTTAATTAAAAAAGTTAACTAAATTTGAGATTGGTAATCATTGTTCAGATTAATCCACAGTTTCATCCTATTTTTAAGTCTTACTTTAAGTTAGTAAAAGATGAGTTTCCTTTCCCTTCAAGCTGTTTTAAGCTTTGGGAGATAAAAAAGAACCAGTATTTTTAAGATATTCATTAAACCAACAATTATAAACTAACATTTACAAATAAATGAAACAGTGTAGCTCATAGATGGGCCAAGAATTTAAGGGAGCTGAATTCTAATCTTAACTCCTGTTATTTACTTGTGTGACTCTCATCTTCTGATGTGTTAACTTAGAGTCTGGACTGGAGGGCCTGATGTTTGTGATTGTGATTCTATGCAGGAGCTATATCAGGAGAATTAACAAGGTAATAAGTCTTAGACTAGGTAAAGATGAACACTGATGGCTTAGAGATGCAGGAAGAAAAAATTTTAGGGAAGGAAAACATGAACAAAAGATTTCAAATTTTATTCTGGTTTAGGCCATTTTATGTTCACTTGTATGCTTTGACACATACCTCATTTAATTCTCTTGTGTGAAATAGGCATGGTTGTTATTATTATTCATTTTGTAGGAAAGAGTTCTGAGGTCTGATGAGGTCATTCTGTTTTCTCACATGGTACAAGTTTTGGATGAAAATCCTTACAATTACTGAATATTAGATTTTGAAAACTCATTTGGTCCAACTGTCTTTCCTTTCTCCTGAGTTCTTCCTACTGTACCACCTTCTGTTTTTGGAACACTTTTTTTTTTCAGCTTTCAGTTTTGGACAGACATTATGAAGTAATTAGTTGATGTTTTGCCTTTTCATCACTCCTTGGTTTATGTAAGATTATTTATGTAAGATTGGGTAAGATTAATTGCATAATTCAGATTCTCTGACTTTTTAAAACTACAGATAAATAGCATCTTTAGATTAACTGGGCAAGGTTTCATTTTGTGAAACTAGACTATAAGCAGGTTTTAGTTAATTAAATCTTTAAAATATGGATAATTCCATGTTAATACAGAAATTTAAAAATCTATTATTTTCATTATGGAAATATATTTCAGAAGTTACACGTCAGCCTCAAAGTAAAAATCTATCCAAAATTCTCAAGATTGTTAAACAGTGGTGAACTGAGCTTAAGGGAGAGAAGCATTTTTACATCTTGGTATCTGAGATTTTAAAATTTCAAAATTAATACAATTATTTCTAATTCTAACTCTAGCCTCTTACTGTTCACTCTTACATGATTGGTTAGGGCAGTTCCTGTCTCAAGATACAAGGCGTAAATTTGTTCTCCCATCCTGCGGAGGGGAGTCTGAAACCAGGCCAGTGTTCTGGGTCCATAGTGGCCTCTAGGAAAGAAAAATTGATACATTTGGATTTTTGGTATTTTTTCAAGTAGACCCAGATTTATATCCTAGATCCTCTACCACTGATGAGCTTTGTGATCTCTACTAAATTAATTCTCTAACTCTGTATTTTCTATCTGTAAAATGGGGCTAATAATGCCCTATATACTTTTATTTGGGAAGGTAAGTAGGTAAGGGGTAGGAATACTGTATTGTAGCACAATGCCTGGCACAAAGTATACGCTTAATAAGTTACAATAGTAGTAGTTGTTATTTTATAGTTCTACTTCTTCTACCTTCCTGTGCCTTGTTTCCTTACTAAAATGTAGATTTGTTGAAAGCATGAACTTTCAAATTAAAGCATTTAGTAAATATTTGGTCATTGATGAGTTGTCTGTCTTGACAGCCCCTCCTCATCTATGTTTTCAGTTTGCTAAGTAGTTCCTCGTAAGTGCACTTACTGGTTCCTAGGTGCCTTTTTAAAGTGATTCCAGGTAGATAGACAGTGTATTTGAAGAATAATCATGTGCATTTATGGGTATTTTAAATTACTCTTGTGATCTATCATCTAAGTTTTAATATATGAGTCAAAAGTTAATTAGTTATATGTAAATTATAATAGGAGTTAGTGTTTGAAAATAGTAATCAGTAAGCTTTAAGGATATATCACTTTTGAAAGAAAAGGTGTTTCTAAAATAATACTTTCAGTCAGTGGGAGAGTAAAATTCTTATTTATAAAGCTTTACTTTATACTGAAATTTTCAGGAACACATATCTTTTTCTAACCACATTGTATCAATACTAGATTTTATGTAAGTCTGTTAACCTGTCCTTTTGACGACTTCCCCCCCAAGTCATGATTATGTCATACATTCCTTTCTAGAGCATGAAGGGAAAAAGCAAAAGTAGTCATGACTTGCTAAAGGATGATCCACATCTCAGTTCTGTTCCAGCTGTTGGAAGGTTAGTATGGTGCTAGTGTGATCCTGAGTTCTTATTTTCTGGCTCAGATAATTTTCTTGCTTCCTTTTTGAGTAAACACTCTGTTCATAAGTCATGTTTTCAACCAGCCAAAAACCTAAAGCATTTTGGTAGTGGAGGTGGTAGAGCTTCTAGCATAATGGAGAGAACATCCTTATTGCTTTCACTCTTCTTGCTATCTACCTCTGTTGAACTAATTAAATTTAAAATCGTGAGATAATTTGAATGCTAGGAAACTGTTTAACAGTTTAATGATTAATTCAGAGGTGCTTTGCTAACTTTTTTCTTGAATCATTTCTGTCTCTGTTGGTATCATGGGTCAGCAAATTGGAGTTGAAGTGTTTTGTGAAGAAGTCACATATTTTGGGCCAATCCATGAGTACTATTTCTTACATATTTCAGGAGTTAACCAAAAATTGACTTACTGTCTTTGTTGCTTCTGCTTAAGCAGGGAAGATGTCTTACTGTTTATCATAAATGCACATGACATACTGGGCCATTGTCTCAAAGGGGAACATACTGTTGCACTGAGTTTGGTTACCTTTACAAAATTCTGTTTCAAAATGATCTTCTCTTAATATCCTGTATGTTAAGGATTTTGTTTCTTCAACCAGAATACATCCAGCAAATAGAAGAAATTATTTCCTGTAGCCTTCTTTTCATAGAAATAGCCCTGTTTGCTTTTTTTCAATTAATTCTAGTGAACTCATATATATGTTAGTGGAGCATACGTCTTATTCTATTCATAAAAATGACCCCCTTTTAGAATGTTTCCATATGCTTTACAATGCCATTCTGAAATTCCTGAAATTGAAACAAATTTTTGAACTATTAATTCTAGCAAAATATTATAAATTTTGGACTCTTGAATAATTTTATTAGTTTCATTTTGAAGCTAAATTTTACTTGTTTTCTTTACTTTTTGTAGTGAGGAAGGTGATGCAGCAGATTTGACTGATGTGAGTATTAATTTTAGTATAAATAAAGTTTGAATGATTTATAGACAATTCAGAATTTTAACAAAAAATTAATTTTTTTTCCTTAGAAGGTAATATATCTTTTATAATTATATATGTAAAATTTCGAAAAAAATAGATTTGAAAAATAACTTATTTTGATACTGGAATATTTCCTTCCAAGTGTGTGTGTACATGTATATTTCCCTACAAAATTGAAGTCTTACATATGAATTTCTAACCTGTTTTTTCTTCCTCTCATGTAATACTACTTGAATACCATAATTCGGATGTCATTGATTTTATTTTATTATGTTAAAAGTTTAAATGTTGCATGGGCATCCTACATGTTATATGGCAAATGCTTGTGACAGTCATTTATAGCAGTATTTCTTTATACACACATTTTAGAAGATCTCTTTCAAGACTGTAGTGATCTTTCCTTATTAGTTGTACTTGCTACTAAAGCTGATAAAATAGATGGCAGAGTTTCCTTTATATATAAGGATCAAGTTTTTCAAGTCTTCCACTTTGCTACTTTATGTAAAAACCCTTTGATTTGTGCATTGTATAATTTGGTAAGAGGTACATGACTTTCTATACACGAACAAAACTTCATCTGTTACCACAGTCAAACGAGAGGGTTCCCTCTGACTATACACCATTAAGGAAGGATGAATATCTAACCTGGTCAAGAAAACTTTCTTTGAAGAAGTGATGCTATATTGTATCTTATAGGAGAATTAGAAAACTGAATCAAAAAAGAAAGTGGTGATGGGTGGGGTTTCTGTAGCTCAGAGAACAGCATATACTAATGCATGGTAACAAGGTGAGATTATACCCTATTTAGAAAGTACATGCTGAGATTACATTCGAGAAAGAGCCTGCCTGTGCAGAGCAGGGAAAATAGTATTGAAAGTAGAGGGAACTGCACATACAAAAGTCTTCAGCCAGAGAGAATTTGGTGTATTGCAGGATCTTAAAGCAGACCAGTGTGACCAGAGTGTAGTGAAGGAAGAATAGGACAAGGGCAGAGAGCTTCATAGGTCATGGTGAGGAGTTTGAATTTCATGCTAAAAGTAATGAGGAACAGTTGAGGGGTGTCAGTTAAAAAGAAGAGTCCTATGTTCAACTTTGCATTTTTGGACATCACTATTGGCAATATTATAGGGGATACATTAGAAGAAATGAACTATTGGGAAGCTATGTTAGGAAGAGAGTTTGATATAAGACCACAGCTGTGAGATGGGAAAGAGACTTGAAAGAGGTCTAAGTGGTGACTGGTTCCATACTATAAGGGGAGGGAGAAGGAGGAGTCTGGGACAACCACAAGGTCTGATTTGGGCAACATCATAGATTTGAGGAAGGGAGAAAGATGAAAAAGAATGTGCTTAATTTTGTACATTGTGAGATTCAGATAACTTGGAAACATCATGTGACCATAATATGGCTCTGGAAGATAGACCAAGGCCTAATGTAAAAGTGTAGATTTGGGGGGGATTGCTCAAGATGGCAGTGTGAGTAGAGCGTCAGAAATCTCCCAAAACCATATATATTTTTGAAAATACAGCTATTCCTAAAAAAGAGACCAGAAGGTACAGTACAACAGCCAGGCTACATCTACATCTGCAAGAACTCAGCATCTCATGAAAAGGGTAAGATACAAAGCTGTGACCCAGTGGGAGCTGAGCACTTCCCCCACCCCAGCTCACCGGTGGGAGGAAAAGAATCAGAGCAGGGAGGGAGTGGAAGCACAGGACTGCTAAATAACCAGCCCTAGAAATCTATCCCAGGAGCACAGACACACATCACATGGTGTACTGGATATTAGAGAAATGGAAAAGTAAAATCCGAGATGGAGACTGCAAGAGGGCCCGCACAGCCAGCTCCCCTGGGACAAAAGAAAAGCTGGTGCTTTAAAAGTCTTATAAAGGGAAAAGGGTTTAACAGGTGGACAAAATCTTCCTGGCACACTCAGCACAGCAGGCTGGGAATCTAAGGAACTTAAGGCACCCTAACCCCCTGGGTGGCAATGCAGAAGCCACTCACGGCAAGAAGCAGCCTGCTGTTCATTCCCCCCCACCACCACTGCGGAGCAGCCAGGAAGCAGCCCCACCCACAGCAACCACATAGAGTCTCCTTCCAGAGTGCAGCTAACCGGGCCAGACCCAGGGGCTACCCCCACATGCAGCTGCCCAGCACAGGTGGAGGAAGCTGGGGCAAGGTTCTGAAGGCATGAAGGGGCGCCATTCTCCCAGGAGAACACACCTGGCATGTCTGCTACCCCCCACAGTGCCCTAGGCAATCCCAAGGGCCACCCTGCCCATGGAAGCTCAGGTGATTAACCCAGAGACTGCTCTCTGTGTGTGGGTAACTGGCACAGGCAGCAGAGAAGGGCAAGGACCAGCAGGCAGGAAGGGACTTTGTTCTCCCAGCTAACACATGCACCACCTGCCGGCTATCACTTCTATCACCATGAAAGGCAGAACTTGGTACAGTAAAGAATTCAAACAACCCCAGAGACAGGGCCTGGAGAGGGAGATATAATTCAAAATAAAACTCATAACCATGCTTATGGACCTGCAGAGAAATATGCAAGAACTAAGTGATGAAGTCCGGAAGGAGAAAACAAATGAAACAGTCAATAGAAGGACGTAAGAGCAGACTGGATGAGGTGCAAGAGACTGTTAATGGAATAGAACTCAGAGAACAGGAATATAGAGAAGCTGAGGCAGAGAGAAAGAAAAGGACCTCTAGGAATGAAAGAATATTAAGAGAACTGTGTGACTAATCCAAACGGAACAATATTCGCATTATAGGAGTACCAGAAGAACAAGAGAGAGAAAAAGGGATAGTAAGTGTCTTTGAAGAAATGATTGCTGAAAACTTCCCCAAGCTGGGGAAGGAAATAGTCTCTCAGACCTTGGAACCCCGCAGATCTCCCAACACAAGGGACCCAAGGAAGACAACACCAAAACACATTATAATTAAAATGCAAAGATCAACAATAAGGACAGGGTATTAAAAGCAGCCAGAGAGAGAAAAAAAGATCACCTACACAGGAAAACCATCAGGCTATCATCAGACTTCTCAACAGAAACCTTACAGACCAGAAGAGAATGGCATGATATATTTAATGCAATAAAACAGAAGGGCCTAGAACCAAGAATACTGTATCCAGCAAAATTATCATTTAAATTTGAAGGGGGAATTAAACAATTTCCAGATAAGCAAAAGGTGAGGGAATTTGCCTCCCAAAAACCACCTCTACAGGGTATTTTTAAAGGGACTGCTCTAGATGGAAGAACTCCTAAGGCTAAATAGATGTCACCAGAGAAAATAAAACAACAGCAAAGAAAGCAGACCAACCAAATACTAATTAAAGGCAAAAAATAAAATCAACCATCCACCAAAGCAGTCAAAGGAAACACAAAAGAGTACAGAATAAAACTCCTAACGTATAAAGAGTGGAGGAGGAAGAATAAGAAGGGAGAGAAAGAAAGAATTGTCAGACTGTGTTTATAATAGTGTAATAAGTGAGTTAAAGTTAGACGGTTAGATAGTAAAGAAGCTACCCTTGAACCTTTGTAACCACGAATCCAAAGCCTGCAATGGCAATAAGTACATATCTATCGATAATCACCCTAAATGTAAATGGACTGAATGCACCAATCAAAAGACACAGTAATAGAATGGGTAAAAAAGCAAGACCCATCTATATGCTGCTTACAAGAGACTAACCTCAAACCCAAAGACATACACAGACTAAAAGTGAAGGGATGGAAAAAGGCATTTCTTGCAAACAATAGGGAGAAAAAAGCAGGTGTTGCAGTCCTAGTATCAGACAAAATAGACTTCAAAATAAAGAAAGTAACAAGAGATAAAGAAGGATATTATATAATGATAAAGGGGTCAGTCCAACAAGAGGATATAACAACCATAAATATCTATGCACCCAACACAGGAGCACCGACATATGTGAAACAAATACTAACAATTAAAGGGGAAAATAGAATGCAGTGCATTCATTTTAGGAGACTTCAACACACCACTCACTCCAAAAGACAGATCCACCAGACAGAAAATAAGTAAGGACACAGAGGCACTGAACAATACACTAGAACATATGGACCCAACAGACATCTACAGAACTTTACACCCAAAAGCAGAATACAGTCTTCTCAAGTGCACATGGAACATTTTCCAGAATAGGCCACATACTAGGAGACAAAAAGAGCCTCAGTAAATTCAAAAAGATTGTAATTATACCAACCAACTTCTCAGATCACAAAGGTATAAAACCAGAAATAAATTGTACAAAGAAAACAAAAGGCTCACAAACACATGGAGGCTTAACAACATGCTCCTAAATAATCAGTGGATCAATGAGCAAATTAAAACAGAGATCAAGCAATATATGGAAACAAATGACAACAACAGCACAATGCCCCAACTTCTGTGCGACACAGAGAAGGCAGTTCTACAAGGAAAGTATATAGCAATCCAGGCCTATTTAAAGAAGGAAGAACAATCCCAAATGAATAGTCTAAAGTCACAATTATTGAAACTGGAGAAAGAAGAACAAATGAGATCCAAAGTCAGCAGAAGGAGGCACATAATAAAGATCAGAGAATAAATAAATAAAATTGAGAAGAATAAAACAATAGAAAAAATCAATGAAACCAAGTCTGGCCAGGGGTTTATCTATTTTGTTTATTTTCCAAAAATTAGAAGAGGAGGGAATACTTTCAAACTCATTCTATGAAGCCAGCATCACTCTAATACCAAAACCAGGCAAAGACCCACAAGAAAAGAAAATTACAGACCAATATCCCTGATTAACATAGATGCAAGAATACTAAAAAAAATGTTAGCAAACCAAATTCAAAAATACATCAAGAGGATAATAAACCATAATCAAGTGGGATTTATCTCTGGGATGCAAGGATAGTACAACATTTGAAAATCCATCAACATCACTACATCAATAAAAAGGACAAAAACCACATGATCATCTCCATAGATGTTGAAAAAGCATTTGACAAAATTCAACATCCATTCTTGATAAACACTCTCAACAAAATGGGTATAGAGGGCAAGTACTTCAACATAATAAAGGCCATATATGACAAACCCACAGCCAACATCATACTTAACAGCAAGAATCTCAAAGCTTTTCACCTAAGATCACAAACAAGACAGGGATGCCCACTGTCCCCACTTTTATTGAACATAGTACTGGAGTTCCTAGCCATGTCAATCAGACGAAACAAATAAATACAAGGCATCCAAATTGGTGAGGAAGAAGTCAAACTGTCACTATTTGCAGATGACATGATATTGTACATAAAAAACCCTAAAGATTCCACTCCCAAACTACTAGCACTAATATCTGAATTCAGCAAAGTTTCAGGGTACAAAATTATTACACAGATATCTGTTGCTTTCCTATACACTAATGATGAACTAGCAGAAAGAGAAATCAGAAAAACAATTCCATTCACAATTGCATCAAAAAGAATAAAATACCTAGGAATAAACCTAACCAAGGAAGTGAAAGACCTATACCCTGAAAATGAGAAGACACTCTTAAGAAAAATTAAAGAGGACACTAACAAATGGAAACTCATCCCATGCTCTTGGGTAGGAAGAATTAATATTGTGAAAATGGCCATCCTGCCTAAAGCATCTATAAATTCAGTGCAATCCTCATCAAAATACTAACAGCATTCTTCAACGAACTGGAACAAATAGTTCAGAAATTCATATGGACCTACAAAAGACCCCAAATAGCCAAAGCAATCCTGAGAAGGATGAATGAAGCAGGGGGGATCTCACTTCCCAACTTCAAGCTCTACTACAAAGCCATAGTAATCAAGACAATTTGGTACTGGCACAAGAACAGAGCCACAGAATAGAGAGTCCAAATATTAACCCAAAGATATATGGTCAATTAATATATGATAAAGGAACCATGAATATACAATATACATGGATATACAGCTAGTGTTGGCAAAATTGGACAGCTACATGTAAGAGAATGAAACTGGATCATTGTCTAACCCCAGACACAAAAGTAAATTTGAAATGAATCAAAGACCTGAATATATGTCATAAAACCATAAAACTCTTAGAAAAAAACATAGGCAGAAATCTCTTGGACATAAACATGAGCAACTTCTTTATGAACATATCTCCCTGGGCAAGGGAAACAAAAACAAAAATGAACAAGTGGGACTATATCAAGCTGAAAAGCTTCTGTACAGCAAAGGACACCATCAATAGAACAAAAAGGCATCCTACAGTATGGGAGACTATATTCAAAAAATGGGCAGAGAATTTGAACATACACTTCTCCAACGAAATTCAGATGGCCAACAGGCACATGAAAAGATGCTCCACATCGCTAATCATCAGGGAAATGCAAATTAAAACCACAATGAGATATCACCTCACACCAGTTAGTATGGCCTCCATCCAAAAGACAAACAACAATAAATGTTGGTGAGGATGTGGAGAAAGGGGAACCCTCCTACACAGCTGGTAGGAATGTAAATTAGTTCAACCATTGTGGAAAGCATTATGGAGGTTCCTCAAAAAACTCAAAATAGAAATACCATTTGACTCAGGAATTCCACTCCTAGGAATTTACCCTTAGAATGCAGGAGCCCAGTTTGAAAAAGACATATGCACTCCTATGTTTATCACAACACTATTTACAATAGCCAATAAATGGACACAACCTAAGTATCCATCAGTAGATGAATGGATAAAGAAGATGTGGTACATATACAGAATGGAATATTATTCAGCCATAAGAAGAAAACAAATCCTACCATTTGCAACAACATGGATGAGGCTAGATGGTATTATGCTCAGTGAAATAAGCCAGGCGGAAAAAGACAAGTGTCAAATAATTTCCCTCATCTGTGGAGTATAAGAACAAAGAAAAAAAATGAAGGAACAAAACAGCAGTAGACTCACAGAACTCAAGAATGGACTAACAGTTACCAAAGGGAAAGGGACTGGGGAAGATGGGTAGGAAGGGAGGAATAAGGTGGAAAAAGTGGCATTACGATTAGCAGACATAATGTGAAGGGGACACAGGGAAGGAGGTACAACACAGAGACGACAAGTAGTGATTCTACAGCATCTTACTACGCTGATGGACAGTGACTGTAATGGGGTATGTGGTGGGGATTTGATAATGGAGGGAGTCTAATAACCATAATGTTGCTCATGTAATTGTAGATTAATGATACAGAAAAAAATATGAAGGATGGCACAGTTAAAAAAAAGTTTAGATTTGTTTTTATGGTCTTGGTGGGAGCGAGGTCATTTATGGAAAGTGTGTGATCTCTAACCTGTTTGTCTCCCAGATCCTTTGCAATGACTAAAACTTTGAACCTTCTTTCCAGGAAATTAACTACATCCACAAAAAAAATTTATGAATTTGTAGGGAATTGTTTCAGACCTTCTAAGGACGAAGCATGGAAGACCTACATTAGTGGTTATCAACTCTTGGGGCTAAAGAATTTCTTTAACATCCCACTGAAAACATTCACTACTTCTATCCATAGAGATTTGTTTCAGCAAGATTGGGATGAGGGCTAGGATTTTACATTTTGAAACAAGAAATCCATGTTTTATAGTCTTAAGGGCCAGACTTTGAGAACCACTGCACCAGGGGTCCACAGTCCTGTCTCATGACTCACCTGATCAAGTAATCACAGGAAAAAAAGATCCACTTGTGGTAGTTTCCCCTTCCCTTTCCCTCCTCCCTCCCTTTTTTCTCCCTCCTCTCTTCTCTATTAATACTGGAAACTCTCCTGGAAGTTGAAGATACAGCAGTAAGCAAAACAATCCAGAATTTTAGGCCTCATGGAGTGCTTCCTCTAACATGGGAGAGAGACAATAAATACATAAATAATTAAAATATATAGTATATCAGATGGGTGATAAGTGCTTTGGGGAAAAGAAAAACCAGGAAGGAGAAGAGAGAATACTACTAGAGGTGGGCATGTGCCTCTGCCATTTTAATAGTGCAGTCAAGAAAGTTTCACTGAGAGGGTAACTTTTGAGCAAAGACTTGAAAGAGATGAAAGAACAGCAATGCAGGTCTATGGAATAGGAGTGTTTTAAGCTGGAGAGAACAGCATTTCCAAATTTAGCTAGTGTTGCTGGCCTCTCTCTGTAGGAGATTATGTCGGAGGTACAGATTGTAGAAGGTCTTGAGTTAGTAGAAGCTCCGTTGGAGGGTTTTGAGAAGAGGAGTAATCGTTATAACTTTGATTATAGGAAGAAATCTCAGCTTCTTCATCACTACCTCTCCTACCTGAATTAATACCTAATTGAGGTCAGTATGCTGGCCAGTTGCCTCTAGAAGCCACATTTCCTGCCAGGAAAGAATAGGAATGTAGGTGGATGTAATATCCTGGGTGATACAGAGGGAACAAATTCTGTCCTGCATAGAGGGGCTGGGTGTGAATTGAGCCAACGACCCTTGCTGGGGTATCCCAAACTTAGCACAGTTGGACTAGAGCAGAACCCAGGGGTATACCTAGCTGTGACAGATTCCTCAAGCCTTCGCTAATTCACAACAAAACAAAACACAAACCTGGCCCAGATTTCAGTGAGGAGAGTTTAGGATGGATCTCTGGAAGTGAAAGGGAAAATGGAATGCCCAGCAAATGCTCCATTTCAATTTTTATAGGATGGAGACTATGAGAGTGCAGAGCATGATGAATCTGTTGATGGTGATGAGAAGAACCTGATGAGAGAAAGAATTACAAAAAAGTTAAAAAAGGCTACAAGTGCAAATGTTAAATCAGCTGGAGAAGTGAACAAATCATTTAGCCGCAGGTGAGTCAATTATTGTGCTTCTAGGTATCAGAGATTTTGTCTTTGTATACTTCATTTCCAATTAAGATTGAGTCCTCTTTTTAATTTACTTTTAATCTCAGTGGTATCATAAAAGAAATTTTAGCCAGTGTGTCATGGTGAAGAGTTGTTGAATTTTGTTACTCAACTTTTTATTCTCCTGAAATTTAACTTCACTGAAAAACTCCTTTGTGATTCTATTTCTATGACTTTATGGTATACATCTTCAATAATATTACTTTAAAAAATAATAGTGTTTGTTTTATTGGGATGGCCTATACTTGGGGATATGATAGATGTAGCTACTTTTAAACAACATTCTTTTTTTCTGTTTTGTTTCTCAACCTTATGTAGAAAAACTTAAAAATAAAAAGCATTTCCATGTTGTCATTGCTTAACTCCCTAAATTTTTCCTTTATGTAACCAGAAAATCAGTTCTCAGAAATTTCCACTCATGGTGTAACCTTTTGCATTTAGAAATGGTATTTAGAAGTTATCTTAAATATCTTTTTTTCCAGCAACCTTCACGTGATGCTCAAGTACTCACTGTTGAATAATTTAATATAGATTAACTCAGGTCACTATTGACTAAAGATTTTGGTGTTCATATATACACTTATCCATCCATACATGGAGTTGACAAGCCTCTTATCAACTCTGTCACTTCCAGTCAAATCAGGTACATAATCAAGGATCCTTTTTTCTCTTTCATTCAAGACGTGCATTTTCTGATTTTTAAGAACTGTGAATTTTTAAATTATTAGGTTTATAATATGACAAAAAATACATTTTGAATTTTTAATAGATGAACCAAATATTTGTTATGTTTAAGTGCTTCTTTTTTTTTTAAATTTTTTATTAAGGTATGATTGATATACAGTCTTATGAAGGTTTCACATGAAAAAACAATGTGGTTACTACATTTACCCATACTATCAAGTCCCCACCCATAACCAATGCAGTCACTGTCCGTCAGTGTAGTAAGATGCCACAGATTCACTGTTTGCCTTCTCTGTGCTACACTGTTCTCCCTGTGATCCCCCCCACACTATGTGTACTAAACATAATACCCCCCTCCATCCCCTTCTCCCTCCCTCCCCACCCATCCTCCCATACCCCTCCCCTTTGGTAACCACTAGTTCATTCTTGGAGTCTCTGAGTCTGCTGCTATTTTGTTCCTTCAGTTTTGCTTCATTGTTATACTCCACAAATGAGGGAAATCATTTGACATTTGACAATCTTTCTCTGCCT